CAATACTTTAAGAATCAAAGAAAAAGGACGATGGTTTATGTCAAATATAGAAGAAATATAGAGGAAGGAAAGGAAGAATTAAATAAGGGTTTTTATAGAAAGCTAAGTTTGATGTAATGGGAGTGGGAAATAACTTTTGATCTATTAATCTTACGCCAAACTGAAACAGAATCAATTCAAATAGAGTCCTCCTGTCCACCATTTCTGTAACTGCAAGGCTTCACAGGACCAATCTTAAAGAAGTCATTGAGTTTAAAGAAAGTTGATCTTATCATAATGTTAATTTTTAGTTTTAATAAAATTGCTGTTTGCTCTTTGTTCCTGTTAATAATCTTATGAAATCAAGGAAGAATTTAGAAGAAAATGAATTTTGAAAAGCACTTCTGAGGAAATGATTTTATGTATAAATAAAGCTGGAAAAAGACAAAAGTTGTCAGAGTAGGAAAAGCCAAATCGAGATGTGCTTCCTCTCTGTCCTGCCTCTCATGAAGTGAAGGACTCTCCTGTGTCTGATCCTTCCTTCCCTTCACCACTCTGCATCCACTCTTCTTCAGAAACTGCCTTCAGTGGTTCCCAGCACTGAAGAATCATTATTTAAAAAAAGAAAAGAGCCAGGCAGTGGTGGTGCATGCCTTTAATCCCAGCACTTGGGGGGCAGAGGCAGGCAGATATCTGAGTTCGAGGCCAGTCTGGTCTACAGAGTGAGTTCCAGGATAGCCAGGGCTATACAGAGAAACCCTGTCTCGGGAGAAAAAAAAAAAAAAGAAAGAAAAGAAAGAGACTTGGCTTTTCTTGGTTAGGATTGTGAGGCCCTTGATTTTCTTTCTCTGGTCAGTTAGGTTAACAAATATAATTCTAGGTTAGCAAGAATGAAACTAGAATCTAAAGCAGTAAATAGTGGAAGTGATACTCTATTCTTTTTTTTTTTTTGCTGGGTGGGGCATATGTATGTGTGCTATGTAGGTGCCACATATTCATGGTGTGAATGGGTGAAGGTATGTGGACACATGCATGTGTATGTAATGCAGACATGTGTACATATATGCAGGAGTCCAAGACTGACATTAGGAACCAGTTGCTCTCCACCTTATCTCCTGAGATCCGGTTCCTCACTGAGCCTAGGACTTGCTGTCTTAGCTAGTTTGGCAAGGCAGCTTGCTCTTGGGATTCCTTGTCTCCACCTAGTGTACTTGGAGTACATATAGACCACTATGCCTGTGTGGATTGACCCTGGTTCTGAGAATGCCAACTCTGGTCCTCATGATTGGGTAACAAGCACTGTGCCTGCTGAACCACCTCCTCAGCCTCAGTACCACCCAGTGTTATTTATAGACATAAGTCATGCCTTACCTGACCAAGTAACAAAAGCACACAGTTTCACTTCAGAAGTAGAAGGCTCTGAATCCCCAGTAGCAAAACTGATTTTCTTCTGCTGCTGAAGCTTATGAATCCATTTACAGAACTGGGATAAGCAAATCTTCAGGGGGACTCCTTCATCAACTTGAACCTGATAAGAGAGCCACAAACTCTGAACTCAACAAATGAATTTCTGAGCCGCTGAGCACTCAAAGTTTATCTAGTAAAAAGATTTAACAGATACAGGCAAGAAATAGTGCAGACTTGAATTCACCATCGTAACAGAAACTAGGCTGGTAACTCTAAAGTTTCATAGAAATAAAAGACAGTGAGTTACATTATTAGCTCTGTAAAATACACTCTCTCTGGAGGTCAAACCCTGGGCTTTTCCCATACTAGGTAAGCACCCTCACACTGAGCTGAAACCCTTGGCCTTGATGTTTATAGTGCTCTTCTGAGTTTTTCGGGATTCCAGTGAACTTTTAGAGTGGACACCACTTCTCCTAACACTGAATAAATTTAATTCTAAGTGGTATGTAGCTTTTATTTTTCTTTTGCAAACTGATTTTTTGAGCTTCTAAAATTTGCATCATACCTGTTTTATCCCTGTCAGTTCTGTGCAAAATTCAGAAAGAATTGGATGTTCTTGAGGCTGAACATAAGCATGAAACTCAGATTCAATCTCTCCAGTTGCTGTACTCAACAAAACTGCTGGAAATTCAACTAAATAAAAGAACCATGGGTTAATACTTAAATATATTTTATTTATTTACTATTGTTTATTATGTATGTATTTATTTATTTACTTATTCCTAGCTAGTGTGAAAATCTATACAGAGCAGTTCTCTACCTGGGTGTCACATACCCTTTGGGGTTCAAATGGCCCTTTCACAAGGGTGTATATCAGATATTCTGCATATCAGATATTTATATTATGACTCATAACAGGAGCAAAATTACAGTTGTGAAGTAGCAATAAAAATAATTTTATGGTTGGGTGCCACCAAAACATGAAGAACTGTATTAAAGGGTCATAGCATTAGGAAAGTTGAAGCTGCTGATCTAGATTAAGCTGGTTTCAAACTCAAAAAGATCCACCTGTCCCTGCCTCCTGAGTGCTGGGATTAAGGGTGTGTCCCACCATAGAGGCCTCAATATGTGAATCATCTTAAACATGCACGGCTTTTATAATAGCATTATTAAACAAATCAATTCCAGCAAAGTCTTATTAGAATAACCAAAACAGTGAGAAGCTGTGCTAAGGAACAAGTCAAAATATCAAATTAAGTCCATTCTGGTTTACAACTAAACATGAAGCCATCATGTGTTAAAATGTACCTTATTATTGCAAAGTCATTTTTTTCAGTTTCTGCCTAATCAAAGTTTTAAACGTAATCTTAAAAGAACTAGCTACTTTGCATAATCACATTCAGGTATTTAGTATTTTATTCTTTTGTAGGTGAGAGTTTTTATATTAAACTATGAGCTTACAGCATTCTGTTTTCCTATTGGTTGGCTTTTATCTAGGATGTTTAAGAAGACTCAAAGAGCACTAGCATCCGCCACTGGCAATCCAAACTTACTTATTTCAGGGCTATTGTGGTGCTTCCCATTACTCCAGCACGTAGACTCAAAATCAACAACAATTAAGTAGTCATACAACTGTTCTGCAAAAGACCATAGTGTTCTTAGGTTTTGTCAATGTTTTAAGTACAAGGCTTCAAACTGTAAAGTAAACACGGGACTTACTGAATCTGTTTCCTCCTGGATTTCCACTTGCTGGTGTAACTGACTTTCTCCTAATTAGTCCAAGCCGCCTAAAAATGCAAAACACAGGAAGAGCAATAAACTCATTTACACTCCAGTTAGAATATGCTATCAAAGTAATAGCCCTGAATAAATGGCAAAATCCTCACTAATGTACTGTAAGTGTAGTTGGGTGTGGGGGCATATACCTGTCAGCTCGCCAGTCAGCAGGCCAAAGCAAAACTGAATTTAAGAATAGCTTATAGCACATAGTGGGACCCTGTCTCAAACAACAGCTGTGTACTGACTGAAGGAAACTGGGGCTAGACTTTAAAAGTCCTGAGTCTTTGTGCTAATTGCCATCTTCTCTGGAGTTTAGTGTCCATTTTACCTGAATGGGCTTCATAAACACTAATCTTACCTGTTCTCATTTTATAGCAGTACTTAGAAACTCAAATAACTATAAAGATGCACTAGAGAGCTTTCGCTATTTTTTATATTTTTCAAGCTTTTGCTATGTTCTAAAGGGATAATGCCTGTTCCTAAACTCTGAAAATCTAGGGGAGGAAGTAAGATTATTAGAGTACTACTGGAAGGTAAACTATGATAAAAAGACTCCCAACAGTAATACACTGTAGTCCAAAGAAGGAAAGGTCCCAAGTGTTGATGAATACACCTTTAACTAGGCAGACGCCTGGAACGGTTATTTGGCTATTTGAAAAAGACAAGACGTGAGGCCAATGTAGGGATTTGGAATGAAAAACTAACATTCACCAGTCACTTCTTCAGCAAATAAACGGTGAGCTCTTTTAAACAATTCTAGGTGGTACATGTTTACAACCTGTATTTTATGCACGAGAAAAGTAAATAATTTGCCTAAAGATGCCTATAGTATGTTATCCTTTGATAGGACTTTTCACCCCTGAAATCCATGCTATTCATTAATACACCAGATAGGTGTTGGTATCAGGCCCGAACCCAGTAACATCATGACTAGGTGACACCCACATGGTTGCCAAGGCAACCGCCATACATTCCCAGAATCCACCTGGGTACCTCCCACCCTTACCTGCAAGAGGCTATGTCACCGCCCATATAAAATAGGCAGACCCCTCTAACCTCTCCCCTTTTCTCTTTTTCTTCTCCGCCCCCCGCCCCCTTGCCCTATCTCCTGAATAAACCCCACTTGGAACCGTTTGGTTTGGTGTGGTCTGTTTGGATCTGGTTTTGCTGTTGTTTTGAGACAGTCTCACTATATAGCCCTAGCCTGCTTGAACATCGCCATGTGGACCAGGCTGGACTCCAACTTGCCACGATGGTATTATAGGCCAATTCCAGTATGCCTGGCAAGTTCACACTGTGTCCCACAAATCTCAAATGTGCAGAGCTTTTCCAAAAAACGAGAGTCTGTAGTAATTCCGACAATAAAACCGGACTAGAAAGGTTACTTGGACGCAGTGGGTGCTGTGGCACCTGCCTGAGAACAGTGTGCAGAGCTGTCACATTCCAGGCGTTCCCAAGGGCCTAGAATGAACAGACCTGATGGAGCACGCCATGCAGAGGACCCGGGGTTTCTCAGGCTCCTCCAACTTGGCGCGGATAGAGAGGGGCTCGAGACCGAGAAGATCAAGGCCCTTTTCAGTTCCAGCCCAAACAGCTGAGGATGACCGCCGCCCACCCTGAGGGGGAACCCCTAGCGTACCGTGCCAGCCGCTTGGTTGCCATGCCCAAACCTCAGATTCGAAGAGTTCAACGGCCGGAAGTCGGACGCCTTCACTTCCGGTCTGTTTAAACGCTGGCGCGCCAGAGAAGGCAGGAGCATTTAGAGCGGCGGCGGCGGTCTGCAGCGGTCTGTGGGGCGTAGCCTGGGGGCGGTTCGGGACCTGGGGGGCGTGGACAGAGGCTTGAGGAGGGGGAGCCCTTCGCTCTGCCCTCGACGCGCCTTAGGGCTCGCTTCGAACTCCCCGACTTTGCAGGGTTCGCAGACTTCTAGTCCGCACGGAGGGAAAAGGCGTAGGTCGGCGGCTTTTTCTGCGAGGGCCAAGCGTAGTAAACTGGTTTGAGCTGCTTCGAGGGAAAGAAAAAACCGTCGCTCCTCTCCAGCGCTTTGCTGGAGGGAGGCCGGGACACGGTTTCCTGGTCGCTGCGGGGTCCTCAGCTCCAGCTGATCTTTCTCCTACAGCCTAATGGAGCAAGAGGAGGAGGCGAACTCCAGGAAGAGGAAGGGGGCCCCAAACTTGGCCTTGGCTAAAGAGCTGGATGGACCTCCGTTGGATATTCAGGACCAGCAGCCTCAAGCCAAGGTGAGCAGAGTAGAGCTCCCGCAGGCGGGCCCGAAGTCACTTGTGGCTGGGAGTCACTTTCTCCAGCACCTGAAGGGTCCCTGCCCATGGATAAGGGCTCACCCACTGACCTGACTGAACTCTGCTGTTTTATTTGTAAAATTGGGATAACAGGATACCACCTATTCCAGGCTCTTTCGGTAGTTTAAAACTGACAGTGTCTGGTACACAGAATATTCATTTAACAAATATTTATTAAAATCCATATAACAGAAAATGTTCCAGAAATATCCATGTATATCTAAACAGGATTCTCCGTTTTCATACAATATTTATGAAGAAGTAAAGTACGAATGGTCATTTTGGTGGGGAATTTATCCTGGTTAAATTATTAGATGGTATCAGTAATAAGAATGCCCTAATATTTTTATTTTTTGGTGTTTCATCAAAAAGAGAATTTTTAATATAAATTTTTATTATACATTTAAAAATGTGTTTAGCCTGAACCATTTTCTCATGTTAAAGTTGTGGTTTTGTAACCTATTTCTTCAGTTCCTTCTTGTAAAATGGGAGTAATGGTAGTCCTCACTTAAAAGTTCTAAGAAATAATTTAGTACAAATAAATTTCTCAAAACTGTGTATGGCTAAGAGTTGGTAGTGTGGCTCAATAATAGAGGACTTGCCTTGCATGTGTCCTGAATTCAGTCCCTAGGACAGTCACTCAAAACAGTGGTTAATAGTAAATACTTAACCTTAGCTCAAGGCCATTGTATAAGTTAGGGTTTCTATTGCTGTGATAAAACACCATGATCCCGTGACCAAAGTCATCTTGGTGAGGAAAGAGTTTATCTTAGCTTTCATGTCCAGATCACAATCCTTTTTTCACTAGAATTCAGGACGAGAGCCAGGAGGCAGCAGCTGACGCAGAAGCCAGGGAGGGGTACTGCTTACCAGTCTTCTCCTCAGGACTTGCTCAGTCTTCTTTCTTATACCATCTAGGACCACCTGCCAAGGGGCAGGCACCACCCACAATGAGCTGGGCCTCCCACATTGCTCATCAATTGAGAAAATGGCCACAGGCTTGCCTAGAGGCCAGTTTATGGAAGGCCTTTTCTCAGTTAAGATTCTTTCCTTTCAGATGACTAGCTTGTGTCACATTGATATAAAACTAGCCAGCACAGCCATGAAGAAATTAGCAATAATTGTCTGATGTTTGGTGGCAGCATAGCAATCTCTCATTGGTCCTCTCAATCTCACAAGATAGAAGTATAGTTATTCTACAAGTAGGAAAACTGTGTCTTAGAATGGCTAAGGAACTTGTCCAAGATACTTGATGTCAGGTAGTATGATGCTTGAACTCCTAAACATAATATTCTGCTTTGTCCCAGAAAAAAATGAAAGTAATAATTATCTCTGAGTTGCATAGGTGTTTCTTTTTTTTTTTTTGTTTTTGTTTTTGTTTTTCGAGACAGGGTTTCTCTGTATAGCCCGGGCTGTCCTGGAACTCACTCTGTAGACCAGGCTGGCCTCGAACTCAGAAATCCGCCTGCCTCTGCCTCCCGAGTGCTGGGATTAAAGGCGTGCGCCACCACCGCCCGGCTGCATAGGTGTTTCTATTGTGTATTTATTTCACCTTTTTCTATTATCTGAATCTTTTATAATAAGCAAAAACTACCTTAATCAGGCATAAGTACAAAACCTTTTAAATTTAAAAAATTTAATAGACAAATGTTTAAACTTATTTTTAAAATTTGGCTTATTAACACTAATTAATTGTCAAAATTAGCTAGCTTTGGTTTTAGTTAGATGTATCCCTTTTGGAAAAATATTCATCATCCATTCATCATCATCTTTTAGAATAAATACTTGACAAAGCCTTCTTAAAGGAACCAAGGAGCTTCCTTAAATCTTCTGTTGCCATAGGATAAATCTGATTGTGATGGGTTAGGTGACACTGATCTGTAAGTTGGTTACTTTGTCTCCACTCTACCTGTCATGGCTTGCAATATACAATTTTGGATCCAGCATGGCTTGGCTCCAGAATTTAAAGAGGCCATCACCAGAACTACAACCCCTAGGCTACTAAAAGAGGCCATCACCAAAACTCTAAACCAGTGTTTCTCAACTTGTGAGTCCCAACCTCTTTGGGACCCTTTCACAGGGGTTGCCTAAGATCATCTGCATATCTAATATTTACAGTAGAATTCATAACAGTAGTAAAATTGCAGCTATGAAAATAATTTTATGGTTGAGGTCACCACAACATGAGGAATTGTACTAAGGGACTGCAGCATTAGGAAGGTTGGGAACCACTGCTGTAAACCCTAGGGCACTGGCTTCTGTGTATTTTTAATAGCACTGGCCCCGGAAGTGTTTTTCCCTAATGGAATAGAGTTCTTGAAAGCATGCATTGTATTTTAATCATCCTACTGTAAGCACATAACTATGACTAATACACAAACTGTACCAGTGTTTATGAAATATTCTAACAACATCATACCACAAGTAACTATTTTAGACTTTTGTTTTCAATCAATTAGAACAGTCTTTGTGTTTGTGTCTATATTAAAATTATCAGAAACTTTATAATTTCCTTTTTGCCATTCCTGAGCATCATGGCTTGCTGTATTCTAATTTGTCTTTGCAGAAAGCTCGCTTATCTACCATTTTATTTGCTGACAATTGTGAAGTAACACATAGACAGCTGTGTGAGTTGCTGAATTATGCAGTTCTGGGTAAATCTGCTGTTCCTAAACCCAGGTATGAGATAAACTATGCATAGATCAGAGGTTTCACACTGGTTTCTAGAGGTCCATGTGTAGCTTGTTGACATAGTAGATGGTAGTTAGATTATAGACAGACAGACAGACAGACAGACCGGAAAAAGTTCAATAATACAAAATAGACACATATATTTTGAAATTTTTGTATAAAAATTCAGTTTGGTGATTTCTTCAAAAAACTTAAAAAACTTAGCAACCGTCTCTCTGTTTTCTCACCAATCAACATCTTTGTCAAAACTGAGTAGCAGTCTTTAGATAAGGGTGGGTATACTCTAGTGTCCTACCTGGTATACTTTATTCATTATATTTCTCTGGCTACTATAGATACCGTAATTTGCTTCCCCTGATGTGGACTTCACATAATGTTATCTTAATAATTCTGGTTAGCCATTTACTTTTCTTATAAAGAGCAAAGAGATGATATTATTTGAATGCTTCCAGTGATGTTAGTGATGTGGAAATTATATTTTTTTATACCGGTCTTACTTAGAGTTTCCATTGCTATGATGCAAAATCATGACCAAAGTAACTTGAGGAGGAAGGGGCTTATTTTATTTGGCTTATACTTCCACATCATAGACCATCATTGAAGGAAGTCAGGATGGGAACTCAAACAGGCCAGCAACCTGGAAGCAGGAGCTGATGCAAAAGCTATGGAGAGGTGCTGCTTACTGTTTGCTCATCATGCACAATTGCTTTCTTATAGAAACCAGGACATTTGGCCCAGGGATGGCACCACCAACAATGGGCTGGACCTTCCTCCATGAATCACTAATTAAGAAAATGTCTTACAGCTAGATCTTATGGAAGAATTTTCTCACTTGAAGTTCTCTCCTTTCAGATGACTCTAGCTTGTGTCAAGTTGACATAAAACTATCCATCACAATACCTATTGAGAGTTTCCGATTCACAACCTTCCCCACCCTCACCCTCACCCTCACCCTCACCCTCACCCTCACCCTCACCCTCCCTGGTTATTATAAATTGTCTAGATTTCTTAGCCCATCTTCTTTGTCAAGAAATACTGCCATCTGTTGGGGCATAATGGCACATGCCTTTAATTTTAGCACTTAGGAGGCTGAGGCAGGCAGATCTCTGAATTTGAGAGTAGCTTAAATTACATAGTGAGTTCTAGAACAGCCAGGGCTATGTAACAAGACCCAGTCTCAACAAATGAATAAATGAATGAATGAACTAACGCAAGCCAGCCTGTCATTAAACTGAAACCAGCCCTCATTTGATGTGCTGGTTTAGGAGGGGTTACAGAATATGTTAGAGATAAACCTTTGTAAAATCAGAGTTCTGATTTAAAATAAATTTTTAAGTGGAAGGAGAGAACCATCTGCCACAAGTTGTTCTCTAATTTCCATTCTGCCATACACAAAAGATAAGTGTCAAGTTTTAAGGACAAGTGCATTGCATTTTACTTGACATTTGATTTGAATATAACAGATATTTATTACAAAGATTTTTATTTGAATTCTTTGAAGTAAAGATTGTCTTCCAGTTACCGGAAGTTAGTGGTTGGAAGTGAAAGGTTGCATTAGTTGTCAGTCACTCTTTCATACTTTTTTTTTTTTTTTTTGGTTTGGTTTTTTGAGACAGGGTTTCTCTTTATAGCCTGGGCTGTCCTGGAACTCACTCTGTAGACCAGGCTAGCCTCGAACTCAGAAATCCACTTGCCTTTGCCTCCCAAGTGCTGGGATTAAAGGCATGCGCCACCACTGCCTGGCCACTCTTTCATACTTGTCTTCTGTAACTGTCTGAAAGTATCATCTTAGCTTTTTTTTTTCCCCCACAGCTGGTGCCAGCTTTCACACCAAAAACAACTAAACAACGTGGTGGTTTTTATTCTGAAGGGAATGAGTCAGCTACATTTCTACAGGTTCTATTTGGAATTCAGATTTCTCCGAAAGACATTCAGACATGTAAGATAAGAAAAGTTTGCATTAGGGGCTAAGTTAGAGACTCCTATCCTGAGACTGGGGCATCAATCTGATAATATATTTCTCAACAACCTAGTTAAACAAACAATAGGAGGTTTATATAGACAGAAAAAGTACTAAGAACCCTATTTAGATTAGAATTTTCAGTGATCTTCTTTGGTTATCTAGCAAAACAGTTATTCTCCAGGTATAGTATATAGCTTCTAGGTTGATTCTATTTTATTTGTAATATGGAAATTTTGTAAATGGCAAAATTCACATAAAATCTGTTTTGTAACTCTTAAAGCATAATGTAGGGCCTGGTGGTACATAATTATAATTGTAACACTTGGAAAGTTGAGGAAGAATTGAATCTAGCATGGGTACAAGAACCTGTTTGAATTTGAATCCAAGATGACCTATATGGCCAGACCTTGCTTAAAAACAACAACAACAACAAAAAAACCTAATCTATGAAAAGAATTAAAAATTAGATAACATTAGAATACTATCTGGAGCTTAATAGCACATGCCATCTAGAAAAGAGGCATGTGCTCTTTTGTCCCTTAGCCTGCTTTGTCCGTATATCCTGAAGGCATTTGAGTTCATGAGCAAAGCCTAACCTACTTTGGTCTTGATTCTCTTGCTTTGGGTCTTCACTTCCACTTTATAGAGTACTTTCTATATGACTAGCCCTCTTTAGCAATCATACCATGCTCATCATGTTAAATGGCCACAGTTGTCCTTTAAGAGACAACTTATTTTATTTTTAAGAAAGTGAATAACTCACCAAAGCTAATGGCTAATAAACTGTAGAATTGTTAGCCCAGATGTGCCTGTAACTAGAACTTTCCACCTGTTTGCCCCGCTCAATCATCTGTCCTGACTCTCTAGTATGCTGTCCAGTGAAATAAAGAAATAGAAGTCCCTGAAAACATTTAAGTTGTAAATTTCCCTAATGTTGACCTTTTTACAATGTAGAGTGAGAGAAACTTGTTGTAGGTAGCAATTTTTAGAGTAAATGTGGCTCTCTTACTTTCTTACTCTCTTTCATATTAAGGAAATAGTTCTCATTGTACAGTTACAAACTATTAAAGCCTAGATTTTTATGAAGGTCTGAAGCAATAATGAAAGTCTAGATTTTTAAGAGTATTTTGTCTGCTTTCAAGCATTTTTGAAAAGACTTATTAATATATTTTTCAGAAATTCAGCTTGCCTCCTCCAACATCTAGTTTTCTATTTGATATCATTGGGCTGCAAAAGAAAAAGTCAGCTAGAGGTTGTCCTAGGACTGTCGAAGGTATGACTTCAATTCTTGTTTGAAGTTTGTAAAAAGATGTTTACTCTTGTGAGAGATAATAATAACAAAATCCCAGTTCTGATTAACTTAAACGACAACAAAAAAAGTGTCTTTTTCTTTCTTTTTTTTTAAGTAAGAATTTTAACGTGGGCAACTAGGCACTGTTAGTTCCTGCCTCAGAAACTGGTCAAGCTGCATACCTAAGGATGTATGGCTGTCACTAACGTTGAGCTCTTAATTACTGTGAACAATTGCTCTTGATGGTCACTGGATCTTTGTACCTACTAGGGTATATGTGAGAAGAAAAATCTTACCTTTGATATGGATATTATTCACATTAAAGAACCGATGGGAAATATAGTTGGTCCTGATTTTAGTACTGTAGCTGTGAACTGCAGGTACAACAGTTAGAGCTTAAAGGTGATGATCATGACCATGATAACAATGTTTTCAGACTTGCTTATGTTCTGTGACTATGTTATAGTTAACATTTTTAAAAAAAAAAAACAATGTGGGTGATAGAATAGGAATTATCAAAATTCAGACACAGTAAAGGTACATATTGTCCAATAATACTACTTTATTTTAAAAAACTAATAGTTAAGCAACTGAATAATTGCACCAAGGTGACATAAAAAGGAAGGACTAATCGGGTGGTTCCCTCCTATCTCCTTTAGAATTGTTTTCTAGTTTCCTTTGTTATGGTGATAGCTTCTAATTTTGCTACATTTCCATTGTTTCCCTCTCCTTCCAGTAGATTCCTACATCATATTTGCAGTTGTATTTGAGTTGACATGTACTATCCTTTAAATATCTTTAAATCATAGAATATCATTTTAATATTTGAGGTTCAAACAAAGGTTCTAAGTTGACAGCTGAAAGATAAGGATTACTAGTGGGTGCTGAAGGGAAAGGAGGTGGTAGTGAGAGAAAAGGCCCGAGATGCACTTAGGCCTCTGTCTTGCAGGCTTTACGTAATGATTTTATTCTATAGGTATTAAGGAGCCAAAGGGGCTATGATTATAGCTCTGTTCTCTTAAAGATTTGATTTCATTTTTCTATCCAAGTCCCCAATGCCGAGTCTGTAGCACTCTCATCTTCCTTTAGTCTTTTCTTTGGACTGTTATCTATTTTTCAAGTTTACCTGCCAAGTTTTCTATAGATGACTCCTGTGTCTTCATCTCTAGATTTGATGTCTCAGAATACAGACTTTATTGCAGTAGTTGCCTCCTGAACATTGCTTCTTGGTTATTCTACTTTCTTCTTAGTTATATTATAGCTAAGACCATCTTATTTCATCCATAAAGAAGAGGCTTCCATCTTTAGTTTCCATGTTAGTACATTTTTTCTCTTTAATCATCAGTCATAATTTTGGAGTTGCTTTTATTTTGGTTTCCCATCTCCAATCTATATGACTCATTTAATCCATTTGTTTCTGTAAATCCTACTCAGATACCACTTTATCAGAGAGACCATTCCTGATATATAAGCATGACAATGGCCATTTTCCTCATCCAGTAACACCCCCTTCTTTTATTCATAGTTCTTATCCCTATTTGATACACATTCATTTTTTGTTCATCTTCTCAATTTGAGCTCAAATTTCAAACCAAATTTTATTGGCTAGAATAATGCCAGTGTGCAATGTACATTGTACAATAATGCCAATAAACACTCAAATATTTTCTTGATGGAATTATTTTATATTTAACAATTTTTTTGTATATGCTACTAACTTTTTGGCCCTCTTACTATATAGACTTTAGTTAAAATATTTTTTGCCAATATTACTGTACAGCCTTTTCTAATTTTTCTCTGCTCTGTTGTTCACAGGTATTTGAGGTTGATAAGATACTCTTTATATTTTGTTGCTTCCCTTTTCAGGAGCTTTTATTGTCTCAATTACATATTGAGTGATGAACCAAAGTTCAGATTCTTGACTCTGCCTGCCACACAAATGGTGTATCATTTATTTCATCTCCACTCTCAACTTGACACATAGATCTGTTTCTATATACTAAACTGTCACAACCAACCCAAGTTTTTTGTATTCCTATCTAACTTAGAGTGCCCTCTACTACTGTGATAGACAAACTTTTGGAGCTTCAAGGACCAGATGTCTATCTTAGTCAAAAAGGATGATGTTTGAAGGATACATGTTGCCTAAAAAGCCATCTGGAAGCTGAGTGCCTTCAGTGAAGAACTATCCTTGTCCGTTTTTATGGCTTCCAACAGAGGAGGGTTTCAAAGTGGTTGGTTCTTTTTATATTTTAGTTAAAATTCTAGACACAAGCAAGTGTGATCAGCGTAATTACTATTGTCCCATTTCAGAATGCAGTCTCAAGGTCTGCACATGGATCCTGTTCACTGATGTTACCTGGTTTAGGGAACAAGCTGTGTTGCTTGAATAGAAAGCAGGAGATTTGAGTAGATAAAGATAAAATGGGCTGTTTGAAATGGGCAGGCACCACTGAGTCTAACATACCATCGGTTTCAATTCTACCTTCTCAAGATTTGGCAATTTGTTTCCTTTCTTGAAGTATCTTTGACCACTTCAGTCCTGAAGTATATTCTTTCTTTCTTTCCCTTTTATGAAAAGCTTTATTGTTGTTAACCCATTTGGAATTAATTGTCTCTATTCTTGGTTTGTTTGTGGGGTTTTTTGTTTGTTTGTTTGTTTGTTTTGTTTTGTTTTTTTTAAAGACAGGATCTTACTATGTAGCCCAATTTTGTTTGGAAGTTGAGATCCTTTTGGCTCTCTCACAAATCACATAGGTGCCTCACCATGCCTAGCTTCTCTTTGTGTTTTTATAACTGTATGAAATCACACACACACACACACACTACCTCTCAATAATAATAATAAACAACATTAGAGGACATGCATCTATACAGGTTAAACACAGGTAAAAAGATACTATGATTCAGCGTGAACTTGTAAAGTAAGTGTGTGTGTGTGTGTGTGTGTGTGTGTGTTTGTGTGTGTGTGTGTGTGTGTGTGTGTGGCGTATGAGTGCAGGCACATTTGTGCCTAAGTATGCACAGAAGTCAAAAGGATTACTTTCTTCTACAGAGGATTCCTAGAGAGAATTCAGATCACCAGGCTTATGCAGCAAGCTCCTTTATCCACTGAGCTATCTTGCTGGCTCTCCTTGAGAGTTTACACATTCTAATACACATTGCAATGCCTTTGTTATTTCAGGACCTTTAATTTCTGCCACTTTACAATCCAGCATCGACCTACAGAACGACCCCATCATTCAAAAGTATGGGTATAAGAACGTGGGCTTGACTAGATGCCTTCTGACAAAAGAAGAAATGAAAACATTTCACTTTCCGTTACAAGGTTTGCTTAAACTTAATCTAATATCACTAACTTCATTTAAATACCTTTGTTGAAAATTATTTTTTTCCTCAATGCTTTTGGGATAGTTTATTCTATCTTGTAATTTGGAAATACTTTTAGTGTGGAATGTGTACTATGTTAGGAAAAGTGATGATTTTAGATTATATATAAAGGCTATAGATATCAGTAAGATGTTTAAAGAGAAGATTCTTTTTGTTTCTTTTCTTTTTTTTTCATTTCTGATAGTATACTAGAAAGAATCAGTATTTCTCTAACATTTTAAGAGTTCTCCAAGCTGAGGAGGTATCTCAGTTGATGCATGAGAACCATAATTCAGATCCCATGGCCTCTTGCTTATAATTGCAGTACTCTGAAGGTGGACACAAGGGATCTCTACAGCATTCTGGTTAGTCAGATTTGCCAAATTGGTGAGCTCAAGTCAAATGGGAGACCCAGTATATAAGATAAAGGCAATCAAAGAGTACAACATATTCAAACTCTGAACTCCAGGCACATATGCCCACAAACAGACACATGAATATATGCAGGCACAACCACACTTGTAGAAAACCAATACACTTTATTGCATTAAACCCTCATTGTTCTTTTTTTTATTTTTTACTTTTGTATTGAAAATTTTTTTTCTATATAGTATATTCTGAGCATGGTTTCCCCTGTCCGAACTCTTCTCAGATTCTCCCCCAATACACACACACACACACAACTCCATGCACTTTCTTTCACCTTATTTAGTAACCAAACAAAACAAACAAGCAGTAACAACAACAATAACAACAACAACAACAACAATAATATCAAAGAAAGCTCAAGAAATACACATACACAAAGAAATTTCATAAAATCACAAAATTGGAAACTATAATGTATAAGCAAAAGGCCAATAAGACAATAATACAAGATTAACTCAAAATCAAAAACCAAACAAACCAGTAGTTCTCCTATATACAGAAAACCAAAAATAATCCAATTTAAAAAGACAGGATATAGAACTAAACAGAATTCTCCATAGAGGAATTTCAAATGGCTGAGAAACAAAGAAATGTTCAATATTCTTACCCATCAGGAAAATGCAAACTAAAACCACTTTGAGATTTTATCACACCTGTCAGAATGGCCAAGATCAGTAACAGACCACATCCTGGTGGGTATGTGGAATAAGGGGAGCCCATTGCTGGTTGATAGGAGTGTAAACTTGTACAGCCACTATGGAAATCAAATGGAATCAGTATGGTGGTTCAAGATTAACTTCAAGATTCCACTATTACCACTTGGGCATATACACAAAGGATAAACTATTCTGGATGGAACTAGAAGAGATCATTCTGAGGGAGGTAACACAGACCCAGACAGAGAAACATGGTATATACTCACTTGTAAGCAAATACTAGCTATATATAAATAATGACAAAGCTACAGTTCATAGACCTAGAAAGGTCAGGTTAAGAGAAGGGATTAGGGGCTCTCCCTGGGAGGGAAAAATAAAATAGATTTCACAGGTGAACAGAGAGGCAAGTGGAGCTGTAGTGGAGAGAAAGAGTGTAGGGAGAGACTATTGGATTTGGGATGCACTTGGGAGTTGGTGTGGAAACCTAGTGCAGTGGAAACTTCCTGGAATCTATGAAGATGATCCTAAGGATGGCACCTAATCCACTACATAAACAAACTCAAGGAAAAAAAACCCACATGATCATATTACTAGATGCTGAGAAAGCATTTGACAAAATTCAACACACCTTCATGGTAAAAGTCTTGGAAAGAACAGGAATTCAAGGCCCATACCTAAACATAGTAAAAGCAATATACATCAAACCAGTAGCCAACATCAAACTAAATGGAGAGAAACTTGAAACAATCCCACTAAAATCAAGGACTAGACAAGGCTGCCCACTCTCCCCCTACCTATTCAATATAGTTACTGGAAGTCCTAGCCAGAGCAATTAGACAACCAAAGGAGATCAAAGGGATATGAATTAGGAAGAAGTCAAAATATTACTATTTGCAGATGATATGATAGTATATTTAAGTGACCCCCAAACTTCCACCAGAGAACTCCTAACCCTGATAACTTCAGCAAAGTGGCTGGATATAAAATTAACTCAAACAAATCAGCAGCCTTCCTCTACTTAAAGGATAAGCAGGTTGAGAAAGAAATTAGAGAAACGACACCCTTTACAATAGTCACAAATAATATAAAATACCTCGGTGTGAATCTAACCAAACAAGTGACAGATCTGTATGACAAGAACTTCAAGTCCTTGAAGAATGAAATCGAAGATCTTAGAAGATGGATATTTTCTTTATGTACATTTCAAATGTTATCCCCTTTCCCAGTTTCCCCCACCCTGGAGAAATCCCCCTATCTCACCCCCCTTCCCCCCTGCTTCTATGAGGGTGTTCCCCTGCCTACCTACCCATTCCCACCTCCCCACCCTGGCATTCCCCTACACTGGCATCGAGCCTTCACAGGACCCAGGGCCTCTCCTCCCATTGATACCAATAAGGCCATCCTCTGCTACATATGCAGCTGGAGCCATGGGTCCCTCCGTGTGTACTCCTTGGTTGGTGATTTAATCCCTGGGAGCTCTAGGGGGTCTGGTTAGTTGATATTGTTGTTCTTCCTATGAGGTTGTAAACCACTTCAGCTCCTTCAGTTCTTTCTCTAACTTCTCCACTGGGGACTCTGTGCTCAGTACAATAGTAGGCTGTGAGCATCTGCCTCTATTTGTCAGGCTCTGGTAGAGCCTCTCAGGAGACACCTGTATCAGGCTCCTGTCAGTAAGTACTTCTTGGATTCCATAATAGTGTCTGGGTTTGGTGACTGTATATGGGATGGGTCCCCAGGTGGGGCAGTCTCTGGATGGCCTTTCCTTTAGTCTCTGCTCCACACTGTCTCTATTTCCTCTCTGTGAGCATTTTTCCCCCTTCTGAGAAGGATGGAAGCATCCACACTTTGGGCTTCCTTCTTCTTGAGCGTCATGTGGTCTGTGAATTGTGTCTTGGGTATTCCAAACTTTTGGGCTAATATCCACTTATCAGTGAGTGCATACCATGTGTGTTCTTTTGTGATTGAGTTACCTCACCAAGGGCTGGAGAGATGGCTCAGTGGTTAAGAGTACTTACTGCTCTTCCAGAGGTCCTGAGTTCAATTCCCAGCAACCACATGGTGGCTCACAACCATCTGTAATCGGATCAGATGCCCTATTCTGGTGTGTCTGAAGACAGCTACAGTGTACTCATATACATAAAATAAATAAAATCTTTAAGAAACCTGTTCTCTACTAATGAGAGACAGAAAGGGGGTGGATTGGGAAGTGGGGTGTAGTACCAGCAATTTAAGCTTATTCCCCACTAGCTTACAAATAAATGAGACACAGACTATGATTATTTTATTTGGCTTTGACAATTACTGGGGGTAACCCCTTGTCTACTCTTCTAACTGCTGGCCTGGCTGCCTCCCCAGCAATGTACTCCAGATTCTTGGTGTTTTTCCTGGCCATGTGCTCATCATCCATTTCTCTTTGAGGTGGCTTCCTCTCTTCTCTAATTCCTCCTCCTCTTCTCTTCTCTGTACCCCAGCTCCAAACCTACCTATCTCTAATCTCTAGAACCAATTTTATTTAACCAGTAGTTTTATATCAAGGAACAAGGTTTGGCTAACAAAAGCTTGTAAACATGAGAATTCACTCATAGGCCTAGTTCCCTTCAGGTATAGAATTTAGCATTACAATACACAAAACAGTAAACCAAACCTCAACAGAGGGGAGGTGGGGAGAAACTAGGAGAAGTGGTTGGAGAAGGGGAGGAAACTATAATTGAGATATATTGTATGAGAAAATCCATTTTCAATAAAACTAAATAAAAAGAATATGGTAATCTTACCAGTGACCATTCTACTGAAGAAAATGTCTCTTTCTTCCCTAGCAACTATTAACTACCTGTAGACCTTCAGGAAGATTTTTTATTCTTTTAATCATTTTAGTTTTAGTCAATTGGAAATCTCTGGGTACTAGGAGGTAAATACTGGTCCAGAGGTTTCATACTCTCCTTTAACTCTTGTCAGATAAAATCTACATGCTACTTCAGCCACTTCATCAACTATGTGAAAGTAAACTCTTTAACGATTCAAATGTTTTAGACCCCTGAGCTGTATATACCTAGTTTTTGACTTAATGTATATAATAGAGTTCCCAGAACCTGTATTGAATCTCTAAAGGGAATTTTGAGGTTATGATTCTAAGAAATTGAAGAACATTTCTGAATAGTGACTTCAGGAAAATCTCAGGGATAGAGTTAGGTATAAGGAAAAAGTTCCTCAGATTTCTACCTTTTATAGTCTTTTTAGATGTGGATTTCACTGTGATGAAATAACTCTTTCCTATTTTCACTTGCTTTATTTAGGAAAGAAACGTGCCACATGGAGTCATTTACACATGTTATTCTTTCTCTCCTAGTATCTACATGGGGACTGCCCAGTAACTTTGGGTTTAATTCTCATAAGAAGAAGAAGTTTTGCTAAGTAACAAGGAATTCTAGGCCCCAGGCTCCAGTTCTCCAAAACAGCAGCCTACAATATTCACTCAGAATGTAACAATGAATGAATGAATGAATGAATGAATGAATGAATGAATGAACAAAACTTACAAGAGAGATTGCTTCTTATTTAGTCTTTATAGTTTAAGTAACACAGAGAATGATCCCAGTACATATGTTATTTCAGTTTCCCTGGATGAATCTCAAAAATGGTATTTATTATCTCCGATACATAGCATCAGTAAATATTTACTTCCTTTTCTTCCTAGGGTCTCCTAACTGTGAAAACTTTATCCTTTCCAAGTATAGTGCTTTCATAACAGATAGCAGTCCCCTCTTTGGACTTGACTGTGAAGTGGTAGGTAATACTTTTGATTTTTAAGAGCATGTTCCAAACAATAATGTAAGATGAGGTTTTGAGGTCAGCGCACCAGTGAACCCATGCCTTTCAGTTCCAGCTTTTGGTTTAGTATCTGAAAGTAGGCCCCTTTAAAAAAATTGGCTTTGTCTTCCAAATGAAAAACTGGTTTTAAGTTTTCTAAGTAGTTTCTGTGTTTAGTAAAAATTTTTTATTACCAGAAAAGATTGATTTTTTTGAACAAATATTCTATACTGTGACTGCCACAAAGACTCAGCCTTAATTACCATTGGCCTGGATTTTGTGCATTGAAGATTAGAAATAGGATTTCCCTCCTAATTTAGTAACTCTTCCAAAAACAAGTACATTCTTTTCCTGTAGTGCTGGCAAATAGTTCCTTAATTCTTGTTAGTTTGTATTCTGATCCTCCCTGTTAATATTTCACTTTGAGTCTCCTTAACCCCTCTTTGCCTCAGTTTATTCCCCTATAAAGTAGGTAATAATTAAGGCTATGCTATAAATTTAGAGAATGATTAGTAAAAGTGGTGGTTCTTAGCCATAATTGTGGATAATACATAGTTTATAGATGATAGGCACATTGTGATTGATACTGTTATCTCCATTAAAAAAACTGAAACAGGATCTCAGGATCTCAGGTTGACTTCAAACTTTGATCTTGCCTTAGCTTCCCTGGCCATTCATCTTTCTCAAAATAAATAATAATAATAATAATAAATTCCAGAGCAATTGTATTGCATTGCTTTCATTAAACATAATGTTCAACAAATACCCTAGCTTCAATTTCATTCAAACTGGATCCTGTAGTAAGCAAACATCTTTGCAGTTGCTGGCAGGAATCCTTGTGGCTGAGGGTAGGTGGTAGCTGGTACAGTGAATATAATAAGGGGAAGCAATGACTTGGGTTCAACAGCCTGAATGTATTTTGTCTTTTAGTGCCTTACATCCATGGGGAAAGAACTAACACGCATCTCACTAGTTGCTGAAGGAGGCCACTGTCTTATGGATGAACTTGTCAAACCTGATTTCAAGATTCTGGACTACCTTACGAGGTATTCTTTATCTCACCTGACTGGTTCTTCCTATAGCTATCATTCCAGAATAAAATATGACACTCATCAGGAATTGCCCACAGCTTCTGCTATTTGGGTTTTATCTCTTATTTTCAAATAAACGGCTGCTGAAAGTGTACTGTCAGTGTGTAATACATTACCCTGGTTCTTCACTTTTACTGTGATAAGTCAGCAGAATATTATCTGCATTATCTTAAAGTCTTGAAGTTGTATCTGTTTCTTAGCAACTGCCACATAGCTGGAGAAGTGGTCTTGTGTTCTGGCAGCATCTTGTTTGAGTATCTGCATGCAATCATTTGTCAGTCAAATGATCTTAATGCTTAATCTATCTTGACTCCCCAAATAAACCTTTTTTTTTTTAATGACAGAAATTTGAAGCCCTAAATTTTAGTCTGCACCCCAGCCCCCTTCTTAATCCAGGGTCTTACTATGTAGCCTGATTTGGCACTTACTATCTAGACCAAGCTGGCCTTTAATACGCAGAGATCCACCTGCCTCTGCCACCCAAGTGCTGGGGTTAAAGTCTTGTACCACCACTCCTGGCCAATTTTAGTCTTTTGATTTTTATTTTTTCAAAGATTAGCATAAAACCTCAGAAGTACACAGTGAGTGGACAAAGGAAAGAACAGTGAAACATTACCATTTTTGTTACCTGAAGTTGTGCCCAGGCATTCATGTTTACTTAGGCATAGAGAGACCTAATGCCAGTGATAAAGGCTGTTCTAGTAGCAGACTTGATAATTGAATTGTTTTTCTAGAAAATAGTCATATGCAGCAAAAGATATGTGAAAGCAGGTTTGTCATAGTATTATTAAAAAGATGAAGATATAAATGTCTTTTTAAAAGACAATGCAAAATCAATTAGAGGATTAGGTTTTTTTAAGCTGCAAAATAGAATATTCTTACCATTTAAAGGGATATGCTAAAATTCATTTTTTGACATACAGATATAATCACAAAACAGCTCATATAAAATATATCTGTAAATGTATACATACCACAAATGTGGAAGGAGCTGAGCAGTGGGGGCACACAACTTTAATCCCAGCATTCGAGAGGCAGAGGCAGGTAGATCTTTGTGAGTTCAAGGCCAGCCCAGTATACAGAGTGAGGTCCAGGATAGCCAAGGCTACACAGAAAAACCCAGTCTTAAAAGAAAAAAATGAGTGGATATTTACTAAAATGTAAAAAGTTATAATCTTTGGATTATAAAGCTATAGCTATTTTATTATTTTTATTGTTCATTTTTGAGCTTATATATCTTTAAAATTTATTTATTTTGTGTATGAGTGTTCTATCTACATATACACCTGCATGCCAGAAGAGGACATCAGGTCACATTATAGATTGTTGTGCGCCACCATGTGGTTGCTGGGAATTGAACTCAAGAACCTCTAGAAGAACAGCCAGTGCTCTTAACTGCTGAGTCATCTCTCCAGCCCTTGAGATTGATTATATTTTAATTCTATCATTTCTCTCTTCCCTTTTTTCCTTCCAAACTCTCCTATGTTATTGAAGACCAGCCTTAGTCCATGGTGGTCTGATAGGATGCATGGGATTATTTCAATCTTCTTGTATCTGTTGAAGCCTGTTTTGTGACCAATTGAATGGTCAGTTTTGGAGAAGGTACCATGAGGTGCTGAGAAGAAGATATATTCTTTTGTTTTAGGATGAAATGTTCTATAAATATCTATTTAGTCCATTTGGTTCATAACTTCTGTTAGTTTCACTGTGTCTCTGTTTAGTTTCTGTTTCCATGATCTTTCCACTGATAAGATTAGGGTGTTGAAGTCTCCCACTATTATTGTGTGAGGTGCAGTGTGTGCTTTGAGCTTTAGTTAAGTCTTTTTTATGAATGTGAGTGCCCCTGCATTTGGAGCATAGATGTTCAGAATTGAGATTTCATCTTGGTAGACATTTCCTTTGATGAGTATGAAGTGTTCCTCCTTATTTTTTTTTGATAACTTTTTGTTAAAAGTCGATTTTATTCAATATTAGAATGGCTGCTCCAGCTTGTTTCTTAGGACAATTTGCTTGAAAATTTTCCAGCCTTTTACTCTGAGATAGTATTTGTCCTGTTTGCAGCAAAATGTTGGGTCCTGCTTACATATCTAGTCTGTTAGTCTATGTCTTTTTATTGGAGAATTGAGTCCATTGATGTTAAGAGATATTAAGGAGTAGTGATTGTTGCTTCCTGTTATTTTTGATGTTATTTTTATGTTTGTGTGGCTATTTTCTTTTGGGTTTGTTGGAAGATTACTTTCTTGCTTTTTCTAGGGTATAGTTTCCCTCTTTATGTTGGAGTTTTCCATCTATTATCCTTTGTAGGAATGGATTGCCCTTCTTCAAATTCTTGTTTTCTTTGTCTATCAATTGTTATTGCATGCATATATCTATTTGTATATACATATAAATTCCCAAATATAAGTTAATATAATGTAAGAGAAGTTTTCAGACTTCTCTGGCATTAGACAATCAGTTCATAAGCTTTTCCCTGAAGAAGACCATCTCTTCCACTCTGAGCTTTTCTCAGTTGCCTGTAGTCATTTGTGTAGGGTTGAGGCCTCCTGGTCTCCCCTCCCCGAAACTCCTCTGCGGTTTTCCATGTTCATTGGTGATTCTTTGTTAAATTTACATTTGGGCAGTTATGTTGGTGAGATTTTATAGGTGTTGCTTCTGACATCACTCAGAGACAATCTCACATCAAAGTTCTTGATCAGCTCTTACAGTCTTTCCATTCTTTCTTTCACAATGTTCCCATAGCCATAGGTATGGGAGTGTGTTGCAGATGTATCCACTGGGACTGGGTTCACACCTCTGCATTTATTTGATTGGTTGTAGTTTTCTGTAGTAGTATCTATCTGTTTCAAAGAGTGGTTTCCTTGATTAGGGGTGAAAACTATACTTATCTGTAGGTATAAGAACAAACATTTATAGATTATTGTTAGGGATTATGCTGATTGTAGGTTAGGGATTAGTGGTTGTAGATTCTCTTCTAGTAGCCAATGAGATCACTAACACTGATTAGTTAGCTAGGTTTCCAGTACCAGAAATGATATCCCTCTTGTTGAATGGGCCTTAAGTCCAATTAGAGAGCTGTTGATGACCACCAAGATATATGGGCCACTACTGCAACCATTGGGTTATCCTGACATGCTGATGATATGGTTGGTAACCATCATAGCTATTAGTTGTCTCTCTCCTTTGGAAGTTTTCAGAGTACCTTCTAGTACCATGGTTCTCGGGGGAGAGAACATTTATGTCAGTTTCAGGTTTTAGGAAAACCTCAGAGGTTTCTTGGTCATGTGTCTTCAGCTATAGGGACTTAACTTCTATCTCAGTGGGTACCTAGGGTAACAGCAACAGGCTGTATGTTGTATGAGTCTCTTTGAAAGACTTGGCTAACAACTCAAAATAGTGCTTCTCATGTCTGGCATTACGGTTTTTATTAGGTGGTCTGTGGCTCTTGGAGAGGGCACCTTCAGCCTAGATGAGAAAAATGTATTTATACATTAAATTGCATGCATTATAGGTTTGTTTGTTTATGTAGTTAATAGGATGATTCCTTTTTAGCTGTCCATATTATTATTTTACCTACTTCCCACCTTCTTCTGTATTTACCTCCCACCCCATCTCTAAGAAACCTCCACACACTTTTTATTACCCTGATCAGATTATTTGAACCCTGCTATTCTGCTCCCTATTGTTCCCCAAACCTGCTATCCTGGCAATGCTTCTGTTTTATTCTCTTGGCTTCTCTGGTTGCTATAGGCTATGTATTCACATCTGAAGATTTGGAGCTAGGAGCTTCCAATACAAGAGAATAAGCCACATTTGTGTTTCTGGGTCTGGATTACCTCATTCAATATCATCTTTTCTAGTTTCATCCACTTATCTGCAGAGTTCATGATTTTATTTTATTTTTTACAGTTGAACAGTATTCTGTAGTTGTAATAGTAACTTTTTACTCGCCAGATCTAATTGTCATCTGGGAGGCTTACTACTGAATAAGTTAACTCCATCTAGCTCTTTCTGAATTCTGGCTGTCTAGTTCAACTCAACTTTTCTGGCCCAAACTCCTCTCTAAGCTGACTGATTCAAACTGGCTTCTCTAAGCTTCTCACTGAATTGTTCTTCTTGGCCTCAAACTAACTCTGCAATCTGTTCTAATCTTCTGGCTTATTCTCATTCTCTGGCTCATTCTGTCTTCAACTACATCCTGTCTCTATAAAATTGTCCTAGTAAACTGCCTCCTCTCTCTCTGTTCTGTTCTCTTAAGTTTCTTCTTTTTCCTCTCTGTTCTTGTGAGAGTTGAACGTATCCTCTCTCTGTCTCATTTTGTCAAATCTTTCTCTGATTCATCATTTTGTCTGCCCTTCAATTAGATGTTACTTTCAAACATGGCTACCTTCTTTTATGAGCTAACTTTATGAACATTGTTTGAGGTTGAAGGTGTGTACTAAAGATGTGTCTACATTCCAGCTGGATCACAAAAACATGTTTTTTTTGTTTTTTTTGTTTTTTTTTTTAATGTGATCTCTTGCCATATTAGCCATGTTGCTGGATTAAAATTTATTTCTATATAGTATATGTATACCACATTTTCATTATCCATTTGTTAATAGTAGGGCATTTAAATTGATTCCATTTCCTAGCTATTATGAATACAGCAGCAGTGAGTATAACTGAGCAAATCATCTGTGGAGTTGGATGTCAAGTCCTTTGGGCATATTCCAAGGAATGGTATAGTTGTGTCGTAGAGAATTTATTTTTAGCTTTTTGAGAATTCTCCACACTGATTTCAATGGCCGCAGCAGTTTGCAATCCCGCCAACAATGAATGGTGGTTCCCTTTCCTCTTAGCTCTTCCAACATTTGATGTCTGTCATTCACCTTTGCTATTCTGACTGAGGTAAGATGAAATCTTAGTTATTTTGATTTATAGTTCCCTAAGTACAAGGGCAGATGAACATTTTTCGAGATGTTTCTTTGTCATTATTTGTTTCTTCTTCTGAGAACTCAGTATTCAGGTCACAGCCCCTCCTCTCCTTTTTCAAAATTGGTCATTTGTTGTTTTTTAACTCTTTGTTTTTTGTTTTGTTTTCTTTATATATTCTGGATATGAAAACTTTGTCATATATATAGCTGGCAAAAATTCTGTCTTATTCTATGGGCTTCCTTGTCACCTGTTTGATTGTTTTGGCTCTGCAGAAACTTTTAGGTTTTATAAAGCCCTGTTTGTCACTTGTTGGTGCATTTGTCTTGGGCAAATGGAGCCTATGTAGTAAGTCCTTTCTTACACCTACATCATGTCGAATGCTGTCCATATTTTTCCTCTGTTTAATGATTTATTTTCTAAACTTTCTCTGCTTATTTAGATCTTTAGCTTTTTCTATAATAGGTGTTATTAAGTATAATTTTTCAAAGAGTTTCTTTGGAGAAAAGTTGATATTTTAGTTTATTTCTCTCTCTTTATTAAAAGTTTTTCAGGAGTCACAAAGGAGAGTCTTAACCCAGTGACAACGAAACTCAAAGATGTACAGAAGCTATTAAGAGAACTGCTTCCTCCTGATGCTGTGTTAGTGGGCCATTGCCTAGACTTGGATCTCAGAGTATTAAAAGTGTGTATCTGCTTTAAGATTTTATTCTGTAGTACAAAAACATGGTCCATTCAACTGAGATGTAAAGACCTGGGCTCCTTACTCCCATCTATGCTCCCTGTTTATTCCGTTAGCATAAGATGCAATTCACTCATTCTCTTTCCTCCTCAGATGATACATCCATATGTTATTGATACCTCATTGCTTTATATTGGAAAACAAGGCAGAAGATTTAGGCTAACATTCCTGGCCAAAGTTATTTTGGGGTAGGTTTATGTATATTATAATGTTTTCCTGATAGACTGCACATAAGTTAGTATATATTATCCAGTTGAGTCTCTCTTGTCTCTCTTAATTTATAAACATTACTCCCTCCAGTTCTTACAAAATGAAGAAATTAAGGGAATGTAGTTGGCCCTCACAATGTGAGCACATAATCCCAGCTGTCTTGAAGGCTAGATTAAAAATTCCTAAGTTCAAGAATTTCTGGGTTTATAGAGTGCTTTCAAGGTCAGCTCAAGCAACTTAGTGAGACCCTGTCTAAAAATTAAAGTTTAAAAACAAAAATGGTATTTAGTTGGCAATATTACTCAGTGGATAAAGGCATTTGCTGCCAAGCCTTATGGCTTGTATTCTATTCATGGGAGAACTTACTCCCATGAGTTGTCTTCTTCCTATACCCCAACCAAACACAAATTATACATGCCCACACATATAAATAAACAAATACAATTAATTTTTTAAAATGTGTTTATTTATATTTTATGTACATTGCTGTTTTGTCTGCATATATGTCTGTGTGAGGGTATTGGGTGTCCTGGAAGTTACAGACAATTGTGAGCCGCCATATCGGTGCTAGGAATTGATTCTGGGTCCTCTGGAAGAGCAATCAGGACTCTTAACCACTGAACCATCTTTCCAGCTCCTTAAAAATATTTTAAAGGAGGTTAGAGATAGAACATTTGCTTATCATGTGTAAGGCCTTAGGTTCAGTCCCCAGTATCATAGAATTTCAAAATGTAACATAACTATTGAGTAAATCTTATAGTTTTGAAGCATATAAGTGCATGTTTATTACAAGATGGTTCAACATGAAAAGAAGAAAAATTGTAGAGGACTGGTTAAATTTGTTACTTGTGTTACTGTTTAAAGGATTGAGATAGATCTGTATATGCTAATGTGGAAAGCCCTAAGATATTACTTAGAATAAAATAAGAGTTGCTGAGTAGGATACATATAGATATTGGTATTGATATATATTGGTATACTAAATTAGATCTAGTGGGTATATTATCAGAAATATATTTCTATTTAAGATTTTTTCATAAACAACCAAGGAGATACTTAAATGTATGGATAGTTGCATATGAAATAATAAACTTCTGGAAGGAAATTTAACTGTTGCTACATCTTAGAATGGCTGGGGAGTAGGCTAGAGACTTCATTGGCTAATCTTTTATTCATGTAGTCCACTTCCTGTGATCAAAGCCATTCCTGGTTGTTCTAGATGCCCAGTACCTCTGTTAAGGACTAGCAATTGAGCAGAAAAAAGGAATCTTGATTGTTGTGATACAAATCTGATTGTTATAATGGTGAAACCTTACATTCTGTGTTTAAAAGAAATAACCATTTGAAAATATTCCCAGATACATACATTTCATCTTCACTTTCTAGGAAGGATATTCAGTGTCCTAACAAGCTTGGTCATGATGGCATAGAAGTTGCTAGAACAACTCTTGAGCTGGTTCAGTATTTTCTTAAGTATGGGCCAAAGAAGGTTAGTATCTTTGACCAGTACCTTTGGCTTGCTTAATATCACAAAACTGATAGATCATTATTTCTGCTGTTTCTTTACAGAATTATTGATGTGATTAAGGTTAGTGTCTTAGTTAGGGTTTTATTGCGTGAACAGACCATGAGTTGGCAGACAACTCTTATAAGGACAACATTTAGCTGGGCAGTGGTGGCTCACGCCTTTAATCCCAGCACTTGGGAAGCAGAGGCAGGCGGATTTCTGAGTTCGAGGCCAGCCTGGTCTACAGAGTGAGTGCTAAGATAGCCAGGACTACACAGAGAAACCCTGTCTCGAAAAACAAAACAAACAAACAAACAAAAGGACAACATTTAGTTGAGCCTGGCTTACAGGTTCAGAGGTTCACTCCATTATCATCGATGTGGGAGCATGGCAGCATCCAGGCAGGCATAGTGCATGAGGAGCTGAGAGGTCTACCTCTTCATCTGAAGGCCACTAGGAGAAGACTGACTTCCAGGCAGCTAGGATGAAGGTCTTAAAGCCCATGCCCACAGTGACATACTTCCTCCAACAGGGCCACACCTTCATATAGTGCCACTCCTTGGGCCAAGCATATTCAAATTAAGATCCATATCATTAACATAATATACTAAGTATACACAGCCTCTGAAGTTGGGCTTATCTATTTTTAAAAGCATGCTATACAGTATTTAGTTATATAACTGTCAGTTGCTCTGAACAACTTGTTTCTAAATCTTTAAAATGAACATATGTGGTTTGCTCGGTTAGTATTGAGACAGATAACTATATATACAGCTCTTAACACAGTGCATTGAATACACTGAGCGCCATGTTGGTGGTGGTGATCATTGAACTGATGCTATGTATGACAGTTATTGTGCTCTCTTGGAATAGGTGCACATTCCATTGTTCAGTGGGTATAGATTTGAAAAGGACAGTTTCTGAAAGACCGTAAAATTATTTTTCTTGTTGGTGTTGTTGGTGGTTTTCTTGAGACACTGTAGGAATATCCATGTAAAGGTTGTCTTTGTATTGGCAAAGAGTTGAGTACAGGCTCTACATTGATATTGTTATTTTTATGAAGCATAACCTACTTCTCTGTCATCTGATTGGTCAATGAAAAGCTGATTTAGCCACTTAGCTGGGTTGAAGAGAATAGGGTGGGTTCCAGGTAGAGAGAGAGGTAGGAGGAGAACCATGAAGGAGAGGAGAGGTGGCCATGAGGCAGAAGGTCCAAGAGGAGTCATGAGCAGGTCACCAAGAGATTTACTATGAGGATACACATGGGACAGAGCAAACCAGGGCAAGGTTCAAATTGTAAATCAAGTGGGGCCTGTTGGTGGGAGGTAAATAGCTTAGAGGGTTAGAATAGCTCAGAACCTCCCCAGCTCAGGCTTACAGCTTATTGATAAAAAATACCAGGTGTCTGTGTCAGTTATTCTAGAATGAGCTAAAGAAGTCGTAGAAACACCCTGCAGTTATATAGTAACAAAAAGGACATAGCAACCCCTTCCTCCAAATTACCATTACAAGTATACCATTACAAGTATATCTTACTGTATACCCTGGTTGGACTGTAACTTGCTATGTATATATAATCAGACTGGCTTCAAATTTGTAGTGATCCTACTACATTTTCCTTCCAAATACTAGGATTAAAGGACCTGTAGGGACAAAAATGTGAGGGACATAATTTTGATTAAACGTAAACTGAAAAGAGAAAGGCAAAGGTAGGTAATCAGATAACAGTACAGCCTCATCTCTCTGGAGACTGAACCAGACAGACCCATTCTTTAGAAGAAAATGAAAAGGGAAAGAAAGTAAAGAAAGGAAATAAGCAATATAAGAGGAAACTAAGCAGGATCCAGTTGTCATGCCAAATTGACACTGAGTCTTAGATAAGAGTAGAATGAACACGAGGGGAGATTTGGATGGAGCTATGGAAAACGAAAACTCTGATGGCTGGAGTTCAGTTTTCACATTTCATGGCTGTCAGAAGCCCAGGCCTCCTCTGGTAGCTCCTCTGTGATAAGAAGTCCTGTTCTTCCCTCTGGGTCTGTCTTTGGATGATTGAATTACAGACACTGGTTCTGTCTGTGAGCAGTACTTCATAGGTAAGAGTCACAACTACTAGTAACACCTCTGTGTGTTCTTCCAACTTTGGGGTTGTGAATGATGGTCACACCCCTATATAATTCTACCAATGCCCAGTGGGCTGCTTGAAGTTTTAGTAGTTTATAAGGATACTGCACAAGGGTCTGTCACAAAATTTCTCTGATTAGTATAGTTCTTAGTGCTTTGTCCAAGGTAGGGTTATTGAGAGACTCAGCTTCAGACTCACTGCACTATTGCTCTTCTTTCCATAGTCTGTGCAGTTTGGAGTCTGTTGTTCTGATCCAGATGCTGCTCCTTGTTCCAAGCTCTGCCCTGTGCTCTTCCTAACGTCTTGATGGGCAATAGCAGTGGTAGGAGACTGATGAGTGTGGTGATGTTCTTGATTTTTGGGCCCCTTACTCTAGAGCTGTCTGAGGGTTCCTGATGCACTTGACCAGTGCTGGTGGGTTCAGTTTGGCCTTTGCCAGCTCTCTCCTGTTTTCTAGTACACTGATCACTTGCTTCTACAGGGTAATTGAAATCAGGATAAGTTCTTCCTAGAGCCAGTGATCTGCAACCTTCCTACTGGTCATGGTGAAACTGCCTCTGCCTCCCAATATGCTAGCTCCTGTTGGAGCACCTGACTGAACCACACCTCCTTCATTCTTTAAGAATGGTTGTGATTCTTTTGTTTTATAGCAGATTTTACTAGTATGCATGTACTAATAAATCACAGAGCAACTCAGCAGTGGTTCTTCTGGACATGGTAGGACACAGGGAGACGCTGAATAGTTTGGTAGTTTGGTAAGTATATGAGTGTTTTTGTGTGCATGGATGTCTGTGGACCATGTGCCTGCCTGGTGACTGTGTAGGCCAGAAGAGAGCATGGGATCCCATCCCCTGGAATTGGAGTTAGAGATGGTTGTGAGCCACCATGTAGATGCTAGGAACTGAACCTAGGTTCTCCATAAGAGCAATAAGTGCTCTTAACCACTGAGCCATCTGTTGAGCCCCCAAATAGGTTATTTTTTAAGAAATTATATCTCATTTTCCAAGTAGACTTCCCTCTTTATGAATAAAAATTAGACTTTTAGCAGTTTTATATTACTGTACTGACTTTTTTGATGTTGCTATAAAAGTCATTGTTTTTCATTTCTAAAAAGTTACATGTTTTCAGAGAAATACATTTTTTAGGGACTGAGTAAGGAATGATGATGAGCCAAAATTGCCTTCACTTTTCACTCAGCCTTTCTTGGCTCTTTAAACTGTTAGTAGCTGGTGACAGATTGCTGTTCTTGGCTAAGCAGCCATAAGCCATCTGATACTATTGAAGCCAGCTTGTTCTTAAGGCAGTGGCATAGCCACAAGTTCTAAAGAAGCAGAGAATATCACTTAAGTGGATTTTATTTTCACCTCAAATGCTATACAAAAACTTAAAATGACCCCCCATAATTAGACATCCAAATTCAAAATTCACATAGTTGGGATTGATCATAAGATGCCTTCTCTAACTAAACAGAGAAGGGGGAGATGCCAGAAGCCAGGACCCTCGCCCTTACCCTCACCCCCTACCTTTCCCCACCTGCACAATGTCCTCTGAAGCTTGGCAACTGCAAGATCCTGCTTAGCAACTGCAGATAGACTCAAAGCAGTGTACCATATCATCTTAAGAATAGCAGGGAGACCATAACTCAAGCAGTGTACCATATCTTCTTTAGAACAGCAGGTAGATCATAATTCAAGGCAGAGTACCTTATAGACCATGACATGTTTCAAGGCACAGGCCAAGAAGATTTTGTACTTTTCCACCACCTTGCCCTTCTTACCCCCTCCCCTTGTAAAACATGCTATAAAAAAGCATTAAAAAAAAAAAGAAAAAAAAAACTTAAAATGATTCTTAATGCTTTATTTTCTTACAGATTGCAGAGTTGAATCTGGAAGCACTAGCAGCCAATCAAGAGCAAGGAAACAAGGAAGGAGCTACAAATATGAGGTGGTATTTTACATTTAAAATAAGAACAAAGGAAAATGAAGGATGTATTTTTTAGTTTTCTGAATATGATCAATGTCTAAAATGGTGTTTTTCATTAAAAAAAAAACCACAGAAATAATTGAACTAAGTATTATTAGAAGAGATTATAGAGCCTTTAATCCCAGCACTCAGGAGGCAAAGGCACACACATCTCTGTGAGTTCAAAGGCAGCCTGATTTATATAGTGTGTTGTAGGGCAGCCAGAGCTATGCTGAGAAACTCTGTCTAGGGGTGGGGGTGGGATGAATGAAGACAATGTTAGATTTGTTGGTATTTTTTTAAGTTAGAAGACTTAGCCTGTAGCCTTTGATGCATTGCCCAGATTGGAGAAACACACACATACATGCTCAGAAAGGGTTTGATTTGAAAGCATAAATGAGTGTGTCAAATCCTTAGACTGTTGCTCAAATCTTGATAGAAAGCTTTAGGTATATTCCAAAGAGGAGGGGGAAATTAGGATAACACCTTCTAATTAGATTTTCTGCAGTGATGGAAATATGCTAGATGGTGTAACCACTAATCACATGTGACTAATGCAGTTGATTAACTGAGCTTTTAACTTAAATTTGTATAGCTAAATATTGCTAGTGACTACAATATTGGACAGAAGTATAGGCTCAAAAGTTAACTATCAAGTCATAATCTAAAAAATGACTATTCTAATTTTAATCTCCTTTACTTCTTTACAGTGTTTTAAAATGCCTGGACTCAATGGGTCAGAAACTCCTTTTCTTGACCCAGGATATAGATAAGCTTTCTTCTTATAGAAACTGTCAAACTATTAAGTGCTCTTCAAATAAAGAGGTGAATGACCTGTTGTACCTTTGTAGTATGTATTCACAACATAGGAGGATACAGCACTTTGCACAGTCCATGAAAGTACCAAAAATTTTGCACCAGTTACCGTGGCTAAAACGAGCAAGTCTGACTTCTGTCTCCAGTGTTTCATGGAGCACTCTTAAGTCAGCTGCCTCATAGGAGCAGACCTGCTAGCTGTCAGCATCTGCTTCAGCGACCAGCAGGCTTGGCCCTGCACACCACTTAGATTTGTGGTTCTGGTGTATGGAGATGTTTGTTTTGGACCCTGGCTGTATCTTTTTATATTTCATCTGTTGCTGTTCTACATGTAATATGGGCATCAGTGTTCATTTGTCTTCCCTACTCACCCAGCTCTGGGATTAGAAATGTGCTGACATTTCTGGCTTTTATGTGAGGCCAAACCAGGTAGGTCCTTGTGGTTGCTCAGCAAGGTGCTGCCCCTCCCTGAAATGTTACTTTTTTTGATCATTTATTGTGTATGTTCCTTTTCTTTTCCTTCTGTTTTTAGGGGGAAGGGTGGTATGCGTGTTGGTATTTTACCGTGCAGTTATTTTACATGCAGTATGACTGTGAACCTCTTTCTAGTTCCTATGGAACCCAGAAGAAGGAGAAGGTATCAGATCTAGAGAGACTGGAGTCATAAGTAGTTTTGGACTCCTATATGGGTGCTGGGAATTAAACCTAGGGCTTCTGGAGGAACAGCCAGTGGTGTTAACAACCAAGCCACCATTTTAGCCCCATAATTGTTTTTGTTAACTAAAAGGTTTTTTTGAGAATTTCATCTCTGAATACTATATTTCTTTTTTTTACTGGATAATTTATTTATTTACATTTTAGACGTTATCCCCTTTCCCCATTCCCTCCCCCCTAGAAACTCCCTATCCCATTCCCCTCCTCCTGTTTCTTTGAGGGTGTGCCCCCACCCACCCACTCCTACCTCCCTGCCCTCACATTCCCCCACACTGGGGCATCCAACCTTCATGGGACAAAGAACAAGTATATCTCTCTTCTACTTAGTGTTGCTGATAAGTATTTAGGGCTTGACTAGTTAGGATTGGAACCTATTAGGGAGCTCATCCCTGGAGAAGATTGATTCTGCTTCTCCCAGATTTCCCCCATCCAAGTTAGCATGTCAACGGGTGTGGTCAATATGCAGATACTGTTTAGGCATCCTTATTGTAGAGAATTCACAGGTACAGCTTTCGGACCGGGTTTAGAAGATACTGTCTTACAGCAGGCATCCTGGTCTTTGGCTCTTGCAAATTTTCTGCAGTGTTCCCTGAGCCTTGGGTATAAGGCTATGGTGTAGATGTATGAACTGGGGCTGAGACCCATAGGCAGTTGTTCTCTGCATTCTGACCAGTTGTGGATTTCTGTAATAGCCTCTTCCTGCTTCAGAAAGAAGCTTCATTATGAGGGTAAAACCTGCACTCACCTGTGTTAAGAGAGTACGTATTTAGTATGCATGTAGAGATTATACTGGTTTGGGAAAGTAGCAGGTAGTAGGTTCTTCTCTTGGATTTATAAACTCACTAGCCATAGCCAATTGGCTAGGTTTGTTGTGCCAAGTATGAATTCTCTTCTATTGAATAAGCTTTAAATCCAGTAAAACATCTTTAATCCCAATATTGTAATACCACTATTAGATCAATAGGGATAGCTTACCATCTGCAAAGCCTAGAAACCATGATAATTGGTGAACCCAGAAAATGATAATTCTAAGTTGTGCATATTAGTGGTTGTGTTTGGATTTATAGTATACTGGCACTGATAGTTATATATTACAATTTACCTTTATATAGTAGCATACCTTTTCATTCATGTATAAGAACCCTGTACCACATACTTGCACTCCTTTCCTTCTGTCCTTATTGCTATGGTTGTTATCATAGCTTACTCCTGTATGTATTATAGAACCCACTCTATATTGTTACTATTTTTGCTTTGGCTGTGGATTATTAAAAAAAGATTTGGGGGGCTGGAACACTGGTCAGTGTATCAGCAGACTGTCTGCTTTTTACAGAGGACCCTGGCTCTGTTCCCTGAACCAACATGGCAGCTCAAAACACCCTGAAACTCTAGTGCTAGGGGATCTGATACCCTCTTCTGTCCTCCACCAGCACCAGGAACATAATGTGGTACACATACCTATATGCAGACAAGCATTCATACACATAAAAAGTAAAATAAATATAACTTTTAGTAAAAAGATACAATAGGTATATTTGTCATGTGATTATCACATCTAATGGTATTTATTCCTTCATATAAATTTGAATTTTAATCTGGACAGAACAGAGTCTATAGATACTAAATTCTTAACAGCTTTTGTATATCTAAGTCATTTTTTAAAAACTTTGATGTTTGGAACGTATTTTGAGTGATATTTGTTTTTTTGTAGTACTTTAAAGATCTTGCTACATGTCTTTTAGCTTCTTCTATCAGATTTCTTACTTTACTGTTCTAGTTTTCTTTCTGTTGTTATGATAAATAACCATGACCCAAGACAACTTAGGGAGCAAAGGATTTATTTGACCATATGCCTCTACATCAGCCTGTCATTGGGTCAATCAGGGAACTTGGAGGGAGGAACTAAACAGAGGCCATGGAGGAGGACTGCTTACTGGTCTGCTCCTCATGGCCTCCTTCTTTATACAGCCCAGGACCACTGCCCAAGAATGGTAGTGCTCGGGGAGTGGGAGGAATAGGCTCCCGAACACCAATCACCAATCAAGAATGTGCTCCACAGATCTGACCACAGGTCAGTTTGACAGAGGTAATTCCTCAACTGTAAATGTAACTCTGGGGTTTTATCTACTTTCCCCTTGTTCCCTAATTAATGACATGGAGACCTTATATTTATTAACAAGCTGCAAGCATTATAGCTGGGCAGATACTCATCTATTTTAACCTGACCATGCTGGTCTGGACTATTTACTTCCCAGCCAGTTCCCAGCCACATGCCTCATTTCATGAGTCTTGCCTGGGCTCTCTCTGTTCTTTTTGTGTCCTAATGGCTACTCCCTTGGCGACCTACTCGTGACAAATCCTCATGGTCTTTCTCCTCCTTCCTTCTCTCTCTCCCCCTCTCTTCATCTTTCTCTCCTCTTACCCCCGCCCCACCCCCTGCTTGGAATCCTGTGGGATCAGAAGTCCTGCCCATGGTCAACACTTAATCAATCAGAGGTGACAGAAAACCTTTACATGTCATTGAGACAGGAGATACTCCAGTATTCTGGTCTGCAACCAGATCCCTGGCACAGAAATCAACACCTGAAATACACAGTGCACAAAACCACCTCCCAACACTCAACTGAGGCCACCTCTTTCTAGATGACTCCAGCTTGTATTAAGTTGACAGAAACAAAGCAAACAAAGAAAAACAACCAGTACTCTGAGTTTATCATATTTACTAAATTAGAAAAAAGTTACTATTTCTTCCAGTTTTATCTCTTTACTTTTGTCTGGGGACTCCCACTGTCATTACAGTAGGGTGCTGAGAGTCCTACAGATCACTGCGATTCATTTTCTCCCAGGATTTCCCCTCTCTGTTTTATTACAGATAATTTTTCATTGTCATTGTCTTCAGGCTCCATCATAAATTTAGTTATATTTAATATGTTAGTAGTTACATCTAAGAAACTTCTACTTCAAACATTCTAACTTCAATCTTAAAAGTTAAATAGTCTCTCATCTCTTCCATGCCTCTAATAATAGACTCAGACTTTTTTCTCCTTTCTTCTGGAATATAGTCATAATAACTATTTTAACACTTTTACATATTTGATTATTCATGTCATTTTTACATTAGCTTTTAAGTTCTTTCTATTCTTGCGAATTGTGTTTTTATGCTTCTTTGCATGCCTGGTAGCTTTTGTTTGTCTTCCATCTCAGATACAGTGAATTTTATTTGATTGTTATAATATAGTTTTTGTATCCTTGTAAATATATGTGAGCTTTGCTTTGAATGTGGTGGTTTTATGGAAACAATGTTCCTTTAGGCCTTTGCATTTAATATATTTAGGTAGAACCATGACAATTTTCACCCAACTTCTGATATAAAATCAAACTTTGTACTTGATGGTACAAGGATCATGAGATTCTGTGCTCTAGTTTGGGAAACTCTAAAACTATTCTTCACCTTGTGTGAGGTTTTGGAAATGTTCCTAGCAGTCCTTTAGGATGTTTTGTTTTGTTTTTCTGAACCTTACATAGTTTACTTACATAGGCTCACTACAGTCATGAACATTTGAGGGTTAAGTCTCTTTGCAGGTCTCTGAAGTTCTGTATATAGCTCATCACTCAGTGACGCTCTAGCCAGCAGATTTCCCCATTTCTCTGTGGCCTGGAAATGTTCTCTAGGCAGCAAGCTAGAGAGATTACATGATTCGTTATGATTGTTTCCTGTCTCTCGGGGATTATTATCCCTCTTTTTCTAATGTCCTAAGAATTACTCTTTTTCACTCCTCTTTTCTGATCATTTCTCCACCTGGCATAGGCTTTAAGGACTTTGTGGGCATTTGCATTTATATGGTTATAGGTACATGCATGTGTGTTTGTACATGCATGTTGAGGTCAGAGAACTTAGGTGTTTGAGACAGCCTCTCTCGTTAGCTAAAAAACTTTGCCAGTTAGGCTAGGCTAGTTATCTGGTGAGTTTCCAAGAGTCTGCTCGCCTCTGTCTTCCATCTCACCACCACTGGGATTGCAAGCACATGCCAGTGACGCTAGTGTTTTGTGTGGGTTCTTGATAGTGAACTTGGGTTTTGATACTTGTAAGGAAAGTGATTTACCAACTGAGACATCACCCAGCCTTCATTATTTTTTAATAGACTTTAATTTTTAGTTAAGTTTTAGTCTTGGGAAAATTGCCTACAAAGTACAGTTTTCATTTATCCTCTGCCTCTATACATGCACAACCTCTGCCACAGTCAACAGTCTACACTAGACTGTTGCCATCGGTGAATCTACACTACACATCCTAATCACCCAAAAATCCATTATTTATATTAAGGCTCACTCTTGATGTTGTATGTGCTATAGATTTTGATCAATGTTTGATGACATGTATGTACCACTATAATATAGAGTAGTTTCATTAAAGTATCCTAAAAATTTTATGATAATTGTACTATGCTAATTCATTCTTTCCTCTAGAAACCACTGATATTTTCATTGGCTCAATAGTTTTGCCTTTTCTACAATATCCCATAGTTGGAATACATACATACATATATGTGTGTGTGTGTATATATACACACGTATGTGTGTGTGTGTGTGTGTGTATGTGTGTGTGTGTGTGTAAGCCTTTCAGATAGGCTTATTTTAGTTAGTAATGTTCATATTTCCTCCATGTTTTTTCAATGCTTTTTAATGATTTCTGTTTTTAATGATTGAAATACTATATTGTTCATTCTGCAATTTTCATATCATGGGGTCAACCAACCATGAACCAGAAATAATAACTGTATATGTGAAGATTTTTTTCTTTCTTATTGTTCCTTAGCAGTGCAGTAGAACAACTATTTACCTAGTATTTATAGTCTCTTAAATAATATAAAGTAATCTAGAGATGGTGACTCAATGTATATGACAGAGTGTATACAGATCAAATGTAAATATTTTATATTAAGTAGTATAAGTAATCTTAAAGATAGTGACTCAAAAGGTATACAGGAAAGTTTATACGGATCCAATCCAAGTACTATGCCATTTTATAGTAGAGTCCTGGAGCGTAGCCTGGTGGTGTAACCTCAACATTCAGAAGACAGACATTTAGAAGGCAGAGGCAAGAGTTCAGGATATTCATAAATCTATGTTTTTCCAGATTCAGTTTATTAAATTACATTTTGTTTGTTTACTTAGGCTGTTTCGTTGTCTCTTTGTATGCTATGTGAGTTTGTTATTAAGACAGACATTTCAAAAAGTAACCAGTTCTAGTCTGAGGAGATGATTTCACAGGTAAAGCACTTATCACACAAATTAAGTACCAGCATTCAGATTCCCTTGTATTATAATTGTTCTGTTACTATGATAAAACACTGATGAAAATTCAGCTTTCGGGTTATAGTGTATCCTTGAGGGAAGTCAGGTCAGGAACTTGAAGCTGAAACCCTGGAGCACTGCTTCTTGGTGGTGCTCTCCAGCTCATGTTTAGCTATACACCTTGGACTACCAGTCCAAGGAATGATGTCACCCACAGTATGCTGGGCCCGTCTACATAAATTAATAGAACAGTTCCTCAGACATGCCCAGAAGACAATTGACTCTAGGCAGTTCCTCAGTGGAGACTTTGAGATGACAGTAGGCTATGTCAAGGTGAAAATGAAAGTTAACAGGAACACCATGTAAAAAGCCAGGCAGAGTGGGGTCTGCAGAGAGACAGAGACAGATAAAGATGCCTGGAGCACGCTGGCTGGCAAACTCGATGAAACTGAGAACTCAGGGTTAAAAAAATACCCTGCCTCAAAGGGACTGAGGGAGATACCCTAATCTCACTCACCCTCAGGCCTCCACACCAGCATGCACACATGTGCGCATATACCTGCACACATAAGCACCACAACAAGCAAAATGTCTCTATACACACATATGCAAGAGAGAAGGAGGGAGGGAGGAAGGGAGGTAACCAGTTCTGGTTTTATAGTCTGCTTCATGCAACATCTCCTATATTTCAAGATTTCATCTCCTGCACTTTAAGGTTTGTTTTCTGGAAATCTAACTGCCTTTTTTTTTTTTTAACTATCTCAAATTCTCTTGGCAGTTTGCTGCTCATAATTTCTTATACCTCATGGCATCTTCCTGTGGAAGTACATCTCCAATATGACGTAGTAATCTTTTAATGATATCTAAACAAGTCCTCTAGTCCTGTCAGGTCTCCTAATCCAATGAGAAGAAACCAGTTTCTCAGTCACCCCATGGGTTCTCCAGTATATGGGCACAGAGTCCACTTTGTTTACATTCTAAGAGAGAATCTCTGGAGTGGAAAGTTGTCTTACCATTAAGCCCCTGTTGGTTCAGAGAACCAGAGGGGGGAGGAGAGAGAGGGAGAAGTGGGAATATAAAATACTGCAGTGTCATTTCCCATTCACTAGCATGTCTTACCCTTCAAGTGCTGAAGTTAGAGGCATATATCCCACCACTCTGTTTACAATACTTGGGGTTTAGGGTGTCCTGTTTAACAAGACTACTTTTATGGTGTTAGGGAGAAGAGATGAATTTATAATATTAGAAAAGGTTAGCATATGTCCTCTCTCTTTGCGAGAGCTTTAATTTACCTTTTAATTTTCATCTCTGCTGCATCCACGAAGGGCAGCACCCTTTTTTCTGTACACTTCATGCTGATTTCTGGATGCTAGGCTTGTAGGTAGGTAAAAAATATCAATAAAAATATCATAAAATATCAATGTTGTGACATTATTTGCATTTACTGGGACTTTTTCTTTCTAGGGGTGCTTTTGTTTGTACTTCACCTAATTCTTTCAGATCATTGATTTTCCTCCTCCCTATACACCCCTGTCACCAATGACTCTTAAGCATCCTTTCTTTTCCTTCTTTCTTTTTCTTTCTTTCTTTATTTTTTTTTGTTTGTTTGTTTTGTTTTTCGAGACAGGGTTTCTCTGTGTAGCCCTGGCTGGCCTCGAACTCAGAAATCCGCCTGCCTCTGGCTCCCAAGTGCTGGGATTAAAGGGGTGCGCCACCACTGCCCAGCACATCCTTTTCTTTATTCACTGACTTGCAGCAATGTGTAATGACGGGAGCCCCTGTTGAAATTTATTTTCTTACTTACAAGTAATTTGAAGATTGTGTAGTAATCACTTTCCATAATACTTAAAGTATGGGTTGTATGTGTTAGGTATTATATATGTGGCTTTTATGTGATAGTAGAGAGTTGAACCCACCGTCTCATGTATGGTAAGAGCTGATCCACTAAACTTTATCCACAGCCCTTTTAGTTTTGATACAGCGTCTTACTAAGTTGCCTGGTCCAACTGTGAACTCATCTATATTGTGGTCTTGAACTTGATATCCTCAGCCTCTGTGTGGTTGGGGTTATAAGCCTGGACCTCTAGGCCTGTTGCAAGCAAGTCTTGTATTCTTAGAAGGGGTGCATTGTTTCTGAGGCTCTACAATACTAGGTTGACCTGTGATGTGGATGTATCAAGTTCCCTTCCATCTCCCTATTTCAGAAATTTGTTTCATATGTTGTTCTGGACAGAGAGCATAGTATGATAAACTGGCAAGGACAGATACTATTTGGGGTCTTAGCCAAAAGGCCAAGAAGCAGTGATTTAATGGCTTTTCTAAGAGACTGTGCTGTTGCCATTTTTCTCTAGACCTAGAAGCCAACTAACTATGTATTACTTTGGGGTATGAGTAAAAGGCAAGTTTATATTACCGTGGTTCTTGGAGTTGAGTGAATACTGGGTTTCTAACTCTCGTCATCTGTGCTGTCTGTTCTCTTCAGGTGCTTGAGCAAGCCAGAGTGGAAGTTCCTTTGTTCCCCTTCAACATTGTGCAGTTCTCTTTTCAACCCTTTCCACCCCTCTTTGCTGAGGAGATGAAAAACAGTGTAAGTAGATGGATTCTGCTGAAGTGTTTGATAACTTACAACCTCTCTTCATAAGGAAAGTAATGCACACTTGATTAAATTCACATCTCTTTTTCCAAATTATTTCAATAAATATTAACATTTGAAAAACATGTTTTATAAAACAGGAATCAGACTGATTACATTGTTTTGCAACTTCACTTTATGCATGTGTTTAATGTATGTGTATATGTATACAGGTATGTGGGTGTGGGTGAGTGAGTGCATATGGCCATGCATGCACAGGCAGAGACAAGGTCAGAGGCCATCATTAAATATCTTCTCTAGCTTTTTTTTTTTTTTTGAAACAGAGTGTCTCACTGAATCTAGATGTCACTTATTTGGTTATCCTGTTTCTACCTGCCAGCACTAGGATTCAAGACGTGTCATTTACACCTAGGTTTTCATGTGGGTGCTGGCAATCTGAACTCAAGCCATCAAGCAGGCACTTCATCCATTGAGCTGTTTTCCCAGCCCCTTGTTACAACTTTATATTTTATTTAATTTAAAATGCATCCTCTATGTTATTACTTAGTTTATTTTTCTTATTTTTAAAGTATGTAAGGTGTTCTACTGTGCGGTATATCTATTATTGAGAGCATTTGTATTTTTAATTTTTTTCTATTATAAATAATTTTTTCTATTATAAATTATGTTGCATCCTTGAATACAAACTCTTTGTCTTATTTTATTTGTTTCTTGTTTTTTGAGATAGGGTCTTTTTGTAATCCTGGCTATCATGAATTGATCTACCTCTCTGTCTCTGTCTCTCTGTCTGTCTGTCTGTCTGTCTGTCTCTCTCTCTCTCTCTCTCTCTCTCTCTCTCTCTCACATACACACACACACACACACACACTTTCTCTCTCTCTCTCTCTGGAGATGAGGCTAGCTTCATATAGAGATCCTCCTACCTTTGCCTCCCATCTATGCCTACATCTATGGTAACTTTTTAAAGGTTTATTGATTTTATTTTTTATGTATTAATTTTTTCTGCAAGTATGTGTGTGTTCCACATTTGTGCTTGGTGCCCTTGAAGGTCAGAAGAGGATAATGGGCTCCCTGGAACTCGAGTTATAAATGGTTGTAAACTACCATGTGAGTGCTGGGTACCAAACCTAGCTCTTCTGCAAGAGCAACAAGTGCTCTTAACCACTAAGCCATATTTCCAGACCTTTAATTACTGTGAACTTTAGACATTTGAAAGGTAAGACATGCTTTGCCTTATGGTTTCAGTTCCTTTTCACATCCACCTCTTTGTTCTGTTATTTGTCCTACAGATGAAGACCAAGTGGACAGAGATGTCAACTGTCTATGCTGGGCCATTTAGCAAAGATTGTAACGTTGGTGCTCTGAAGAAGGTGTTTAGTAGCTTGGGCCCAGTACACTCAATAACTCTTGTTCTTGAAACTTACAGGGTAAGATGAGAAAATTAAGGTTTTTGACTTAGAAGAATCAGATGATTGTGGGGGCTGTGCAGCTAATGGTGCAATGTGCTTGAGTGTCCCCAGCTCTGTGTCTCATAAATAATCAGGTTTTCTAGAGCTTATGTTTTTGTGTATTTATAATTTTTATTTTGTTTTGCTTAAAGAGAAATCTGCCATGAGGGCCAGACAAAAATATGTCTGCTGAAGCCAGGCGTGATAGCACATGCCTTTAACTCCAGGAGGCAAAACAACAAAATCCCTGCTATTTGAATGTAGCCTTTGTGTCTTCTGATTGTGACCTCACGACATTCCTAATCACTTTTTATTTTAGACAGAGGAGCTCATTGCATAGCCTGTGTTGGTATAAGATATGAAACCCTCCTGGTACTGCCTTCTGAATAGCTTCTGAATAGCTGCCTTCTGAATAGGTGTACACCACCACACACTACCGAGCTTCAGTTTTCACTTTCTTCCTTCCTTCCTTCCTTCCTTCCTTCCTTCCTTCCTTCCTTCCTTCCTTCCTTCCTTTCTCTCTCTCTCTCTCTTCCTCTCTCTCTTTCTCTCCCTCTTTCTTTCTGTGTCTTTTTCTTTCTGTCTTTTTTCTTTCTTTCTACCTTCCTTTTTTTCTTTTTTAAAGAAAAAAGCTATGTAGTGTATTATAAAGGTACTGTAGCTTGCTTTTCTTATTTTAATTCCCCAGTCTCTTAAATTTTATATATTGGATTTTTTATTAATTTATCTATTTACTTTATATCCTGATCACAGCTTCCCTTTCCCTCTTCTGTTCCAGTCTCTCCCTCCCCTCCCCACACCCTCTTCCCTTTCTCCTCAGAGAAGAGGTAGCCTCTCATGGATATCAGCTCACCTTGGCATATCAAGTTGTACTAGGACTAGGTGCATCTTCTATTGAGGCTAGACAAGGCAGCCCAGTTAGGAGAAAGGAATCCAAAGGCAGGCAACAGAGTCAGAGACAGGCCCTGCTCTTGCTATTAGGGGTTCCACATGAAGACCAGGCTGTACAAATGTTACATATGTGTAAGGAACTATGTCCATTCCCATACATGCTCTCTGGTTGGTGACTGAGTCTCAGTAAGTCCCTATTGGCCCAGGTTAGTTGATTCTGTAGGTTTTCTTGTGGTTTCTTGACCTCTATGGCTCCTTCAATCCTTCCTCCCTCTTTTCCAAAGATTCCCCATGTTCTGTCTAATGCTTAGCTGCAGCTCTCTGCATCTGTTTCCACTAGTTGCTAGGTGAAGCCTCTCATATGATAGTTACCCTAGATTCCTCTCTGCAAGTATAGCAGAATATCATTAACAGTGTCAGGGGTTGCCTCTCTTCTATGGCATAGGCCTCAAGTTGAGCCAGTCATTGGTTGGCCATTCCCTCAATCTCTGTTCCCTACACATGTATTGTAGGCACGAAAAATTACAGGTCAAAGGTTTTGTGGATGGGTTAGTGTCTCCATCCCTACTTTGGAAGTCTTGGAGATGGGCTATTCAGTCTCCATACCCTCTATTGCTAGGAGTCTTAGGGTTACCCTCATAGATTCCTGGGAGTTTCCATTGTCCTAGGTTTCTAGCTCCTCTCAAAGGTGCCTGTTCTCTCTCCCTCTGTCTTCTCAACACTTGATCCCTCCTGTTTTCCTCCCCACCCCTTCTCGTACCCAGTTTTCTCCCTCAGTTGATCCCAGTGTTTATTTTATTTCTCCTTCTCAGTGAGATTCAAGCAATCCTCCCTTGGGCCCTCTTTGTTACTTAGTTTGAGTCTGTGGTTTATAGCATGGATTAGAAGTAAGTACTTAGAAGTGACTACATACCTAGTTTGTCTTTATGGGTCTCGGTTACCTTACTTAGGAAGATCTTTTCTAGTTCTGTCTATTTCCCTGCAAATTTCATGATTCCATTGTTTTTAATAGATGGGTAATATTCCATTGTGTAAATGCACCACATTTCTTTATCCATTCTTCAGTTGAGGGACATCTACATTGTTTCCAGTTTCTGGGCATTATGGTTAAAGCTGCTATGAACACAGTTGAACAAGTGTCCTTGTGGTATGGTGGAGCATATTTTTGAGTATATGCCCAGAAGTAGTGTAGCTGAGTCTTAAGGTAAACTATTTCCCATTTTCTAAGAAACCACCAAATTGATTTCCAGAGTGGTTATACAAGCTTGCACTCCCACCAGCAGTGGAGGAGTGTTCCTCTTGCTCCACTTCTTCACCAACATGAGCTGTCACTTCAGTATTTGATCTTAGTCATTCTGACAAGCCTAAGATGGAATCTCAGAGTCTTTTTGATTTCATTTCCCTGACATTGAACATTTCTTTAAGTGCTTCCCAGCCATTAGAGTCCTCTGTAAAGAATTCTCTGTTTAGCTCTGTACCCATTTTTTTAACTGGGTTCTTTGGTTTGTTGATGTCTAATTCCTTGAGTTCTTTATATATTTTGGATATCAGCCTCCATCAGATATAGGGTTGGTGAAGATCTATTCCCATTCTGTAGGCTGCTGTTTTGTCCTATGTCAGTGTCCTTTGACTTACAGAAGCTTTTCAGTTTCATGAGGTCCCATTTATTAATTGTTGATTTTAGTGCCTGGACTGTTGGTGTTCTGTTCAGTAAAATTTCCCCTGTGCCAAGGCATTTGAGGCTAGTCCCCACTTTCTCTTTTATCAGATTTATTATATTCAGTTTTATCTTGAAGGCTTTGGTCCCCTTGGACTTGAATTTTGTGCAGGGTGATAGATTTGGATATATTTGCATTCTTCTACTTACAGACATCCAGTCAAATCAGAAACATTTGTTGAAAATGCTTTCTTTTTATTTTCTATTGTTTTGGATTCTTTGCCAAAAATAAAGTGTCCACAGGTGTATGGGTTTATTTCTGGGTCTTCAAATTGATTTCATTTATCAACCTGTCTGTTTTCAATGCAGTTTTTATTACTATTACTCTGTAGTACAACTTGAGATTAGGGATAGTGATAGCTCCAGTTCTTTTATTGTATAGAATTGTTTTAGCTATCCTGTGGTTTTGTTGTTGTTGTTTGTTTGTTTTTCCATATGAAGTTGAGAATTGTTCTTGCAAGGTATGTACAAAATTATGTTAGAATTTTGATGGGAAATGTGTTGCATCTGTATATTGCTTTTGGTAGGATGGCCATTTTTACTGTTAATACTACCCACCCATGAGCATGAGAGATCTTTCTATCTTCTGATATCTTCTTCAGTTTCTTTCTTCAGAGACTTGAAATTCTTGGCATACAGGTCTTTCACTTGCTTGGTTAGAGTTACACCAAGATATGTTATATTATTTGTTGCTACTGTGAAGAGTGTTGTTTTCCTAATTTCATTCTCAGCCTGTTCATCTTTTTTTGTTTATTTGTTTTGGTTTTTTGAGACAGGGTTTCTCTGTGTAGCCCTGGCTGTCCTGGAACTCACTCTGTTGACCAGGCTGGCCTCGAACTCAGAAATCCACCTGCCTTTGCCTCCCAAGTGCTGGGATTAAAGGCTTGCGCCACCACTGCCTGGTGAATTCATCTTTTGTATAAAGGAAGGCTACTGATTTTTTTTTTTTTTTTAGTTAAGTTTTTATCCAGTCACTTTGCTGAAGGTATGTATCAGCTGTAGGGGCTCTCTGGTGGAGTTTTTGGGATCACTTATGTATACAATCATATCATCTGTGAATAGCAATCCTTTGACTTCTTCCCTTCCAATTTATATCCCCTTATTATTCTAGATAAAACCTCAAGTTTTATTGAATAGGTACAGAGAGTGGGCAACCTTGTCTTTTTCCTTATTTTAGTAGAATTGCCTTAAATTTCTCTCCATTTAATTTGATGTTTATCAGCTTGTTATATATTGCCTTTATAATGTTTAGATATCCACCTTGTATCCTTGATCTCTCCAAGACTTTTATCATGGAGGGGTGTTAGATTTTGTCAAAGGCTTTTTCAGCATGTAATGAAATTATCATGTGGAGTTTTTTCCTGTTTATTCATATGGTGGATTACATTGATAGATTTTCATATGTTGAAACACCTTTGGATCCCTGGGATGAAGCCTACTTGCTTGTAATGGATAATGTTTTTGATGTGTTCTTGAATTTGATTTGCTGAAATTCTTTGTTAAGTCTTTATGTGACAGTGGCTTCATTAGTTGGCAGTGTTCCTTCTGTTTCTGTTTTGTGAATTAGTTTGAGGAGTATTGGTATTTGCTCTTCTTTGAAAGTCTGGTGGAATTCTGCACTAAAGCATCTGGTCCTGGGCTTGCTTTTTTGGGGGTGGGGTGGAGGAGACTTTTAATGACTGCTTTTACTTTCTTAAAGGTTATAGATCTATTTAAATTGTTTACTTGATTTTGATTTTATTTTAGTAAGTGGTATCTATCAAGAATATGGCTTTTATTTAGATTTTCCAATTTTGTGGCATACAGGTTTTTGAAGTAAGTCCTAATGATTCTTTGGATTTCCTGTGTGTCTGTTATGTCCCCTTTTGAATTCCTGATTTTGTTAATTTTGATATTTTTCCTGCCTTTTAGTTAGTTTGGTAAGAGTTTGTCTGTCTTGTTGATTTTCTCCAAGAATCAACTTTTGGTTTCATTTATTCTTTGTATTGTTCTCTTTGTTTCTAATTTATTGATTTCAGCCCTGAATTTGATTATTTCCTGCCATCTATTCCTCTTTTTGTTCTAGAACTTTCAGGTGTGCTGTCAGTTACTAGTATGAAATTTCTCCAATTCCTTTATAAAAGCATTTAGTGCAGTGAACTTTCTTCTTAGCACTGCTTTCATTGTATTCCGTAAGTTTGAGTATAACGTGCATTCATTTTCACTGACTCCTAGAAAGTCTTTAATTTCTTTATTTCTTCTCTGATACAGTGATCATTGAATAGAAAGTTGTTCAGTTTCCATGAGTTTGTAGGCTTTCTGTTGTTGTTCAATTCTAACTTTAATCCATGGTGGTCTGAAAAAATACAAGGAATATTTCAATTTTCTTGTATCTTTTGAGATTTGCTTTGTGATTGAGTATATGGTCAATTTTAAAGAAGGTTCATGAGGTGCTGAAAGAAGATATATTCTTTTGTGTTTGGGTAAGTTGTTCTGTAGATATCTTGTTAGGTCCATTTGATTGATAACTTCTATTCGTTTCATTATTTCTTTGTTTAGTTTATGTCTCTATGATCTGTCCATTGGTGAGAGTGGGGTATTGAAGTCTCCCACTATTAATGTTTGGGGTTTTGTATATGATTTAGTAATGTTTATGTAGTACATATAGAAGGTGTCCTTGCATTTGGGGCATAGATACTCAGAATTGAAATGTCATCTCAGTGGTTTGTTGTTGTTGTTGTTTTGTTTTGTTTTTGTGTCCTTCCCCATCTCTTTTGCTTAATTTTGGTTAAAAGTCTATTTTACTAGATATTAGAATGGCTATTCCAGTTTGCTTCTTGGGTCTGTTTGCTTGGAAAAATCTTTTTCCAGCCCTTTACTTTGAGGTAATGTCTGTCTTTGTTGATAAGGTATATTACTTGAATGCAGCAGAATGATGGATTCCGTTTATGCAATCACTCTGTTAGCCTGTGTCTTTTTTTATTGGGGAATTGAGTCCATTGATGTTAAGAGGTATTAATAACCAAATGATCATTAATTCCTGTTATTTTGATGTTGGTAGTGGTAGCATGTTCATGTGTGGCTGTGTGCACAATATGTGTGTGCATGAGTGCATGCATGCATGCGTTTCACTTCTTTTGGTTTGGAATTCTCTCCTGTGGTTTTGGAGGTATACTTATCCTTATTGGGTTAGAGTTTTCCTTGTATCTATCTTCTGTAGGGCTGGATTTGTGGATAGATATGCTTTAATTTGGTTTTGTCATGGAATATCTTTTCTCCATCTATGGTGATTGAAAGTTTTGCTGAGTATTGTAGTCTAGGCTGGCATCTGTGCTCTCTTCGAGACTGCAAGATATCTGCCCAGGCCTTCTGGCTTTTACAGTCTCTGTTGAGAAGTTGGGTGTAATTCTGACAGGTCTGCCTGCATATTTTACTTGGCCTTTTTTCCCTGCAGCTTTTAATAGTCTTTCTTTGTTCTGTGTATTTATTTAATGTTTTGGTTATGGTTATTATGTGGCAGGAGAATTTTCTTTTCTGGTCCAATCTATTAGGTGTTCTGTAAGCTTCTTGTATGTGTATAGGCATATCTTTGTTTAGGTTGGAGAAATTTTCTTCTATGATGTTATTGAGACTGTTTTCTGGGTCTTGTAGCTAGGAATCTTCTCCTTCTTCTATTCCTATTAACCTGACGTTTGGTCTTTTCATAGTGTCCCCAATTTCTTGGATGTTTTCTGTCAGGAACTTTTATATTTAACATTTTCTTTGACCAATATATCAGTTTCCTCAATCGTATCTTTTATGCCTGAGATTCTCTCTTCTATCTCTTGTACTCTGTTGGTGATGCTTGCTTGCTTCTATAGTTGCTGTTCTCTTCCCTAGGTTTTTCATCTCCAGGATTCCCTCAGTTTGTGTTTCCTTTATTGCTTCTATTTCCATTTTCAGGTCTTGAACAGTTTTATTCATTTCCTTCATCTGTTTGTTTGTATTTTCCTGTATTTCTTTAAGGGATTTATTCATTTCCTCTTTTAAGGCCTCTATCATCTTTATAAGGTTGGACTTTTATGTCATTTTCTTGTTCTTCTGCTGAGTTAGGATATCTAGGGCTTGCTGTAGTAGGATAGCTGGGCTCTGGTGTTGCCATATTATCCTTGATCTTGCTGATGGTGTTCCTATGCTGACTGTTAGCCATCTGGTTGTCCCTGATGCTAGCAGTCCTCCATTAATACAGGTAGAGTTGTGGGCCAGAAAATGAAGTGCAGGGGACAGGGCACAGGTTGCCACTGCTGGGTGTGCCCTAAAGGAACATAGCAGGTAAGGAGCCTGGGGAAGAGTCCTATCTGATTGTCCAAGGTGCTAGCAGGCCTCCTGGAATTCCTGTAGAGCCATGGGCCAAAAAATGGAGTTCAGAGGACAGGGTACATCTCTCTATTGCTGGGACCCAGCAGGCAGGAAATTTGGGAGGAGGGAGGCATCTCACCTGGTTGTCCTTAGTGCCTGCAGGCCTCTGGTAATGCAGAGGTATGTTGGGATGGGGGACAGATAGATGTACAAATGACCAGGATTTTTTATTAACATAAATATTCTGAAGGATTTTAATTATTTAAAAAATCTATTTCAATAAAAAGAAAAAATTAATTATTTAAATACTTATATATCATCTTAAAATTTATGTAGTTCAAAAGATTAAGTAAATAAAACCCCATTTTTAGGTCATAAGTAGATCAATTACTGAAGTTGATATCTGAAGTAATAGCATAAGTATAAAAGACAACATGACAAGAATCAAAGCAGGAGCAGCCTAACAGTCTATAGAATGATAGTATGATGACACATGGAGGCAGAGGCAAGACAGTTACTGCATAGTCAAGGCCTGCCTGATCTAGTTCTACATCAGCCAGGCCTACAGAGTGAGACTCCTTCTCCAAGAGGAAAGCAATAGCTACAGAAAATTATGTAGTAAGTAGTAAAGATGGAGCCTCCCAGGGGGAGGACTCCATCAGCTAAGTAAAAGAGAAGGAGAAAATGTCACTGCATTTTTTTTTGTATCTTTAGAAAGTGGAACTTAGGCAACTCATAACCTGCTATAATAATAACTATGAAAGTGAAAGAAAAACATAAGGACTGCCAAAGTTACTTTTTTTGTTCTTATAGCTAAAAATATAGATATTATCTCTGAGAATAGACTTAGAATTGGGAACTTTGTGGCAAGGCTGTGACAACTTATTTTTTCCTGCTAGCTTTGTTGTCGTTGTTGTTGTTTGTTTTTGTCTAATACACATCAGCTGGAATTTCCATTTCTAACACTTTAAGTTTGCATAAGTCCACTGATATTACACAGCCTTCAGGACTGTCCTTCTGTAAAATCTTTCATCATTCCAAACTGAAACTCCCTACAAGTTTTGAGTATCAATCTCTTATTAGATATGTAGCTTGTAGATATTTTTTCCTACTTTGTGGTCTGCCTTTTACAATTGGGTAGTCCTGATGTGTAAAAGCTTTTAATTTTGATGAAATCCAGTGTCATTTTTCTTTTTTTGTTACTCACCATTGGTGTCATTTTCAAAATTTTGTTCAAAACTATTTTTCATAAAACTTCTGTAGGAGAACTTTTCTCCACGATGACATGTGTCTCAGATGATGACAGAGATTTAGCTACTTTGAGTCATAAGGTAGATAATTTGAAGCCAGTGGAAGAACAGCTTCTCAAGTGGACTGGAACGATGTCTAAAAATCAAGCTAATCAGACATCTGGGGATTCCTCCCTTCCTATGACATACATGAATGACCTTAGTGCTTTGTAATAAATATGAAGAGCGGGTGAGTGGTGCATTTGTTAGTTTTCCTTGTACTGCCACAGCAATGGGTTTTGATTTTAAATGGAAAATGAAAGTTACTGTCTTAAAACCAATTCCTGAACTTTGGTGATTTTATTTAAAGTTGACTGACAATCTAGAATCCAGCACCTGTCCGGCCCATCACATTAAAAGGCATCCACTATGGTCTAGGTCCCTTTCTCAGCCCCCTTTATTAGCAGTTTGTGTTGAAAAGTAACAGTGGCAAAAACCTTGTTATTTCTGCAGCCTTACTTCTCTATACAGTATGAAGTCCTGGAAGCTGCTCAGCTGGCGATAGAGACCATGAATGGCACTCTATTAGAAGGTTCCTGTATCAGGGTAAGGTGGCCAAAACTAAAAACCAGCCCCCTTCATCTAGGCAAGGTTTAAGTAGGGACATTCTGGAGATGCCCAGGCATGAAACAGTGTAACAAATGCCTTCAGTCAAGACTCAATATTTTTAGTTTTATAAAACTCAGTCTGGGATAGACTAGAGTCTTCACTGTATTCTTCATTAGTTGTCCTTATCCCTGGAAGGTCTGTTTGGAGTGGCTATTATGACTCTGTCTGTTCCTTTAGCTTTTAAGGAGGTAAGATGGTGGGACTGTGAAGTTCTTTTGGTATAAGTTAACAAAATTTCAATGGAGGGAGGAGGCAGGCAACTGGAGAAAGTAGATATATATGAAAATATGTATTTATATGTATGTGTTTATCAGTTACATCCAGAGTCAGTTCTGTGAAGCACTTTATTGGCCTCCTTATAGATTAGGAAGCTGCAAAATTCACTTTTTGATGTACAGCATGACTGAGTGTTAGTTAAAATGATGATTTTGTACCATCTTTCCTTGGTTAGGTACACAGGCTTGTGACAGAACTCACCCTTGAGTGTGACACCCTTGTAAGAGAGCTAGAGAAAGATTCTGAGAACCAAGGTACTATATATGTGGCTGGAATCGGTGAGACCTTTAAAGAACACCTGTTGGAGCAGTCCAACCTCTTCCCTGACCTGGAAGCTGTGATCCTGCCTAAAGAGGTTAAAAGCAGAAAGCAAAAAAACTACTGTTTCCTGAGTAAGTCTTACCACTAAATGCATCCTTGAAGGAAACTGGAGACAATACGAACATAGTATCAGAAAAGGGATCCATCAAACAAACTCTCCTAGAGTAGACCAGGGTAGAACTCCTACTTCTGTCCTGTCCTCATGCCTTAGCTGTTGATCTGCTTTCTTGGCCCTTGATAACAAATGTTGGGATTTTTTTTGCTCTTAGAGTTTAAAACTCTCAACAGTGCCCAGGTAGCCCTTGAAATTCTCAAAGGCAAAGACTGGAAGTTGAAAGGCAGAAATGCCCTAACCCCAAGGCACCTTCAGGCATGGCTCAAGGACATACATCCCGAACCAACAATGCCTATGGGGCTTCGAATTGTACCTCCTCTCTTGGAGAGACACATCTTCAGGGTAAGTGAGTGTGTCCTGGGGTCAGCGGGTTAGGTAGCTGCTTGAGTGTCTAGTTCTGGACCCTGACCTTCTGTCTTTGGAGCACAGTTAGGAAAGGCTTGCTTGTTAGCACTATGTCTATACTTAAGGATTTTTGTTTGTTTGTTCTTGCCCTCAGCCCCATCTCATGTCACTCTCCAGCCAGCTCCAGCCTCCCCAGATCTCATATACTTTTGCCCCCTTAATATCCACTAAAATCCCATTTTTATTCTTCAGAGTGGTTCTCTAAGGAACTTTGAGGGATAAGGGTAGGAGACTGGAGAGCTGGCTAAGTCTTTAGAGATCTAGTTCAGGTTTTCCCAGAGTATGGTTCATATACAAGGTAAATTTTGATTGACGTAGGTAGACTTTATTGCTAGCCCCACTTCTGTAGTTGAGGACTTCCAATTTACTGTACAGCCGTGTCAGATAATGAGATTAGGCAAGATTAAAAGTGGAAATTTCACTCGTTTTAAAGGAAACGTATGTATAAAAGAGGCATGCGTAGAAGTGTACAGATAGAAGGCTGCTTAAAGCTTGGGAAACCTTGCTCTAATGTCATACTTCACAGGTGAGAGACAGAAGTTAGAACTGGTCAGGGACTCATCTCAAGTCACAGAGGCGCTTAATGGCAAAGGCCTGGCAGGAGCCCCATCAGTGTCCAGCTCCCTGGCTTGGGTCCCTCTTGGAAGACCACTTAAAGAACCGACAGCAGCTGCCCTTCCCCACAGTGATCCTAAACACTTGAGGTTTTTAAGAGTGGGCTGCAGTTTCAGATTTTTTTCCAGAGCTTCCTATGGCTTTAGAACTTGAGAAAGTGCCACAATTCTTTTAAAGGTGAACAGGAGGCTAAGTGTTGATATATGTCTGTGGTCCTAGACTCTGAAGTCAAACCACCCAAAGATAGTAGCCTGGCGCTGGAGCCGGAGGATTGAAAAGCTCTACCACAGCCTGAGCCCAGGCACCTTCTGCCTCATCCTGATGCCAGGAACCAAGAAGTAAGATTTGATGTGTTGTCCTCATGATTCTGACCCTTAGAATTTAGCGGTTCCCAAGGAAAGACCTGTAGGTGAATGATGTCCAAGAACATAAAGAGGATTTACATGAATTCTTATCACAGTTCTCATAGCTAGACAGTGCATTCCTAGTTTACATGCATGCTTAAACTTATTGGGACTTCTGATACTGTACATTGCCTTTCAAAGGCTTAGGTTCTCTAGTCTGAGGTAAGAAGTAGGTACTTAATGTGACAACAGGACAAGGTGTTCTATCACAGGGCCCAGGCTTAGCTGTTACCAGGCCTACCCTCCTCACAGATTAGAAGTATGTTCTTGACTTCCCTGTTCTTTTCCTCATTGCCATCTCTGCTTTTGAAGCACAACAATTTTAAACTTTCTGATTTTAATCCTAACAAATACTGAAACAGGCTGTATTGGTCTCATTCTAGCTCCTATCACATACTTTTAACAAGTGGCCAAGCTAGCTGCAAAGATGGTGTACATCTATAGTCATAGCAGTTGAAAGAATGAAGCAAGATTACGAGTTCAAAGCCAGGGGTACATTGTAAAAACATATCTGAAAACAAAATTCTCCTGTGAGGGATTTGCAATAAATCAGTGATCCTTCAAAACAAAGTATGATAAATACTTTAAAAAATTAATGTTAAATCCTAAAATACAGAGTGCAGTTCTGAGTGTGTGTGTCCACGCATGTGTACACACACATGCCAGAGAGAAGAGAGACACAGAGAAAGAGCTTTTATATTAAGCTATTCTTTAAGTTGCAATCTTGCCAGTTCAAATTGTGTTGCTTTAACATAAAAAGCTGGGTTTAGTAGTACATATAATCTCAGCACCTGGGAGGTGGAGGCAGGGGAATAAGGAGTTCAAGGCCAACCTCAGCTACATAAGGACTTTGGGCCACTGTGGGCTACATTTAGTCCTATGTCAAAAATTAAAAATATCTCAAGATTCTGATATTCTAGGAGATGCTGTGCTACAAATAATAATTTGAGTAATATCTCAATTTGGGGGGAGTTTTCTTGTATGATCTTGTTGAAATTCTGGTCTGTCATTAACTTGGGATTCCTGTCCTTTATCTGTGCCTATGATTTGTAAATTTGGTCTTTTTTGGTTTTGGAGACAGGTTCTCTCTACATAGCCCGGGCTATTAGGATTAAAGATGTATGCCACCACATCTGGCTAGATTTGATCTTCTTATAATGCCACAGAGTTCTTTATATTCCTTTCATGTAATTTTGTTAATTTTTCATATGCTTTACATGTGTAGTCTATTTTTATATGTATGTGTGTGTGCGTGCATGTGCCACACGAGTGTGAGTGCAGCAGAGTCCCTGGAGCTAGAGTTAGAGACAGTTGTAAGCTGCTTAATATGGGAACTAACAACTGAAGTTGGGTCCTCTGCAAGAGCAGTGAATGCTCATAACCACTGAGCATCTCTCTATCCTTAAGTCTACTTTATCTTCAAGTCATCATCTCTCTTCTTGATCCCTGCTGCTGGTAAGGCTTTCCTGAGAGTTAAAATTAGGTTATTGAGTTTTTCAGTTTCATTATTTCTACCTTTTACTGAATTTAGTTTTCAGATCTTGAACTGTCTTGTCATTTCCTTCAGCCACATTCAGTGTTTTCTCAGATTTATTCCGATCCTCTTTAAGTTCACTGAGTTGTTTACTGTTTTCTGTAAACTCTTTGAATTCTTTGATGGTGTTTATGGTTTTCTTTTAAATTGCACCCTAGGTAGTTTTTATTAGAGAACATTTCTATAGGACTCAGGGGTTTGGATCGGGACATAATGTCTTAGCCTTTGATATTTATATTTTTGCAATGGGACTTGGTCATTTTGTTGGTTATATGTCTGATTCTAGGCCACCTCTGTTAATTGGAAATTTGTTTTGTTGGCCACGCTTGGTTGGCTTCAGACCAGGTATCGAGAGTTGGGAGTCAGTCCTTCAGATACTGCATGTTGATTTTGGATTAGATGAACAGGGATGACTCCACTTCAGTGGTAAGCAAGAGATGTAAATGGGATAGCTAGCTGTTGTACAAGGTGAGCCAGCTGGGTGAGCCAGGGGAGTATAGGGCATGTCACCATCAGTGGGCCTGAGGCTTAGGAACAAGGCAGCTAGGTAAGTGTTCAGGATACTCACCAGAGTTAGCTAAGACTCAGGATGGCTAGGCAGGCAAGAGTCTTGGGAACTCGGCAGACTGGGCCAGTACACAGGATGCTTACTCCAGTCTAAGCCCATAGGTTTGGTGTGGTGCAGTGGGCAAGGATCCAGGAGACTCACTAGACTGGCACATGAGGATCTGTAAGCCATCAATAAGCAAGTATTGTGCTACATACATAGACTCTGGGCCAGAATTAAATTATTCACATCTTTACTAAGCACAAACATTACAGTAATGCCTCTGTTTAAGTAATTTACCAAGGTCGCACAACTAGTGTGACTAGTCAGGCTTTAACTCTAATGATCTGACTCCAGAGACATGCATAAAAGGCTAGTACTTACTAGACAGCAAGTTAACCATTTGTGTTTTGCTCATTTTCTGCCAGCCTTGTATCCAAAAGCTCCATTAGTTCCCTTAACTCAGTCCTGTAATATTCATAAAAATGCGGCAGTGAACTAACAGGTATCAAATGACTCCTGTTTTAAGCACTGTTCCAAAGACATGCATCGTTAAAGAAGTATAGAAAGATTTTCAGATAGTACTAGCAAAGTCTTTAAGTAAAATGAAAAGACTAACATTAGTTTCTAGGGACTCTGAGGACAGATTTTCATTACTGAAACCTGGCTGTTACTTGCTACTGTAGGATATAAACAACTTATATCTGAGCCTTTCCTTGGAAGACAGAATGAATACTTGTATCATTGGGCTGCTTTTAAGTTTTAAAAAGACAAGTGTTTAAAATTGTCTGTACTTGATTTGTAAGAAGTGCCTGGTGAATGCTGATAATTACTATGCTTCTTTAAACCTTGGTGATATCGTAACAATTTAGAATTTTATATTAAAAAAAAAAAAACCTGGCTTATCTGAAATGTGCCATTGATCTCTTGAGCAGCAGAGCTAGGATATGAATCAGGCTTCTTCACTGAGCTCCCGCCATCAGGCAGCTTTCCAAAAGCTGCCTCTTGGTGTATGGCACTTGTCTACTTAAAAACTTACTTCCTCAGCCAGGGGATGGTGGCACATACCTGGGATCACTCGGGAAGCAGAAGCAGGTGGATCTCTGTGAGTTTGAGGCCAGCCTGGTCTACAAAGTGAGTAGCCAAAGCTGCACACAGAGAAAACCTGACTTGAAAAAACAAAAGGAAAAAAAATCCACAAAAACTCAACATGTCTTTGTGTTTATTTATTGCAGTACTTTTGGAGCACACCCTGGCCTTGGATTGATGAAAATAAAAGAGGAAGAGGAAACTGACAGCCCGGGCATGAGAGTGTGAGTCTCTCCGCATTTTCCAAGTGCCATTTCCCATGCAGAGAATGTGACTAGGCTACAGCCCTTTCTTGATGGCAAGCCTCTCCCTCTTGCAGACAGCTTTGGTAAAAAGTTGGAATACCCACTAAAGTATATTGTCATGTTCAAAATTCCAATAAATGCCTAAAACTCAAAACATTTCTTCCTCTTAGATATGGTGAAGGGGAAAGTGAGTATTTTGTGCCTGAGTTTATTTACACAGGTACTGATTAGTTCCTGTAGCACGACCATTAAATGACATACTAAGACCAAGAGAAGAAAATCCAGCTAGTTTGTCAAGTTTCTGTAAGTAACTAGCCTGGCTAAACTGTTGACTCCTTGGCATCTATTATAAAGTTAAAAAGGGGATTGTGGACAGAGAAAGGCTGAACAAAACATCTGGCAAGAGTAAAGATAGTGGACAACTCTTAGCTTTGTAGTCAAAACCCACTTTCATCCCTCCCATGTTTGGGCATCCCTCCTCCTTGGGATACAGCTGCAGCCTCACTCTTCACCAGCAGGTGTCCCCATCGGACCAGGGCACCACTTGGAAACTTCAAACTCAGAAAAACAGTGCTAAGTTTTAAGGTGACTCTCACAGGTAACAACACTGTGTTGGAAAGATGGGACATGGGTCCACAATTCTTAATCTTGTAGATATTAACTGATTCAGAGAAAGTAAATCCATCACACCAAAAACCTTGCTTTGTATACACAGATCCTGTAATACCACTTGAAGAAGCGAGAGTAGTAAGATGGTTGTATTTAAGAAAAAAAAAAGGGGGACATAAAGTAGATGCCACAGGGTTATTACAAAGGAATGAGTGTGTGCACATGCCCCTTCAAGTCCTAGCTGTTTTAATTATTAGGTTGCTCAGTTTACATTGAATACTATTAATTCACAAACAGAGATGCTAGTATCTCATAGAATTATTTGGCTTTTTGAGACAGGGTCTCACTTTATGTAGCTGACCTAGCTGTCCTGGAACACTATGTAGACTATGCTGGCCTCAAACTCTAGAGATCCATCTGTCTCTGCCTTCTGAGACCAAAAGCATTTGCCACCTCACCAGGCTCCCAGAATTTACCATGGAGATGAATGAAGTTGAGTTCATAGTTATACATGTGTAGGGGTGCAGAACAGTCCTGTAGTTTTGATTCCTGATGTGTAGGGGAAATACACAAAGCTATGCATACGATTGTAACCCAGCTTGGAATGCTATGCCAGGATGTTAACAGTATTTCTCTCTGGTTAGTATGACTACTAGTAAATCGTATTTTACAAAAGGCTTTGATGTATGAGGTTAAGAACTAAAACCAAACAAAACAAAATTCAAGCGGGCTTGGTGGTGCAATGCACTCTGGAGGCAGAGGCAGGTGGATCTGAGTCTGAAAGCCAGGCCACCAAGGCTACATAGTGAGGCCCTGGTTTTTACTTAAAAAAAAAGAAAAAAAAGTTCAGCATTATTATAGTTAGAAAGAAAAGAAATAGTTCTGAAACTTTCAAGTTGGGCACTTATTAGGCAGTGCTTAACCCTTAAATGTAGCCTCTGTAAGTGGGACCCTAAGTGGAACCAAGTACCAATTTGATGTGAAAGCAACAGTCTCCTGGAGTCCCTCCACAGGAGGAAATTTGTCTTGTGCTAGCTTTAGTTTCTTTTCCAGCTGGGGTCCAATTAATATCTACCCCTTGAGGCTCCTGTCCTGAAAGTCAATGCCTCTCCTGGACATAGACAGGCCTGGGTTAGAACTTCAGTTCTGTTGCTGTGTGTTTGGGTCATTCTGAGTTCATTTCCACAGCTGTATAAGATAAGGAAATACCTACTTTTAATAAGTGTGAGTCTTCGAAGTTCCATTTGTGGGACATGTCAAAAATAGCAGTGAAATGGTAACTATTTTCCTATGAAACCCTGCTTAGAATGGGAGGTCAGAACAAGTCCAGCACAAGTGCACAGTAGGTGGCAAACCTTAGCGATCTGGCAAACTGTCCCAAGAAGCCATTAAGGCTTCTGAGCTTCAGGCTCTCCTCTAGCTCCCAAGACTCAGCAAGGCTACTTCCTTCAGAATGCATGAGGGTTTTCCCCGGGCCCCACTGCAAAGCTGAAGAAATGGGCCTGGCCCACAAGCCTCTGAGAATTCTGCACACTGTGTTCTTCCAGCTGATGCTCCCACCTTTTAGAAACCAAAGCTGCCAACTTGGCCTCTTGCAAAACACACATTCCATTCATACGTGCGTTTGTACATTGTTCCTCCCACACCCTTCTAGGCAGTCAATGCTGAGCTGCCAAGACAGCTGCCCAAGGAGCAGGCTTAGGGAAAAGGCAACTCAAGAGGTTTTTATAGAACTCAATTTGGGTTTTGAGTTCCTGTCCCTATTTTGGGATTGTTCAGAACACTAAGCTACATTTGTTTTTATTTCCTTGACCCTCTGAAAATGACCTCTTATAAAAATAAATAGGAAAGTCAGTGTACGTTTAGAGAATAAAAAGACATCTAACTACCCAGAATCAATGACTGCCAATATTTTACAAGCCTAGGTTTTTCTGTCATTATTTGGATTTTTCAAATATCTGCATAATATAGTAATATAAGTCATAATTTCTGAAACACTACTTTGTTGACTCTGAAGCTGCAGTTATGTCCTTGCAGTTTCTATGAGAAAAGCTACTGTATTAATGTATATTAGTGGTTCTTTTAATTACAGAAAGATGTTTCTGTTTGCCAGCATTGTCTCAAATCTTTGCCACTGTGATTCATTAGAGAACAGTTTTCATATGTTCAACTATTTTCTGGAGTACCATTTAGATTGACATCCAACTTTTCAGAAGCTTCTTGGCCATATTTTCGTCAATGGCTGGTATATATATATGTTGCCTATTCTGATGCAAAGCCATCTACTTTTCTATGTTGACTTTTAAGAGCTTCTTATGGGTCAAATATGGTGTCCCTTTGTCAGTGCTTCTAGGTTGGTTGGTGGTGGCAGCGCATCCCAGCATTGAAAGGCAGAGGCAGTCGGATCTCTGAGTTTGAGGCCAGCTTGGTCTAGAGTGAGTTCCAGGACAGCCAGGGCTACACAGAGAAACCCTGTCTCGAGAAACAAATATGTGCTTCTAGTTTGCATTTTAAGGCATGGAAAGCTTGTAATTTAAAGTCCTGATTGATTCAGGGATCAATTTAAGTATCCACTGGCCAATTGTGTTTCTAATGATTTGACCTTTATTCTTCCTGACACTACCTTGACATATAGCAGCTTCCTCTCATATATAGATAAATTTATCCAATTATCTACTTTGTCTCTTTTATAATATGGGTCAAAACCCAGGCCTAGAGGGATGACTTCCAGAGCCAACTTAGCCATCTGCTTTGAGGATTTGATAAGAGAGGCCAGAATTAAAGTGACTCTTCCCTATCCCTCTGGACTACTTGTTAGCATACTTTTTCAGTAGAAGTCCATTCCACGTGCAATTAAGCTCATCTGGTAACTATAAAAATTATTTGCCAATCATTTTAATTGAAAATAGGATTTTATCACTTTGTAATCTATTCACCATTCTGTTGACGTCCAATCAGCTGTCTTCCTTTCCACTCTACTACTCTCCAATCTGTAAAGCCCTATCTGTACTTGAGAGAAGAAAGAACAAAACACAGAAGAAACAAGCCCAAGAGTCAATGAGAGAACTGTGGAGCAAGGGTAAGCTACAAGTTTTCTAGGGAGTGTAGTCAAGCTTAGAAGCCCTCCCCAACTGAAAAGGCTTCCCCACACAACTCTGTGCCCCACCACCACACAATGTACTTAACATCTTTTTGATGAACCCTAAGGAGGCTTATGGTTCGGCACTATGAGGTATCATGGGTGTTTCAGACTTTTTCCTAAATTCTAACACCAATGGAGATACCTGTATTTTGCAGATGAATAAAAAATAAACTTAATCATTGCAAGCCTGATTAGACCTAGGGACCTTCCATACATTTGACACAGAGCTCAAAACTATCTTTTCATTTCTCATGGGAACTGTGTTACTTAAGGTAAGAAAGATGATTTCAGCAATGGGCATATAAGCAAGCATTCATATGCACAGAGGTCATCATGTGTTTGGAGCAAGACTCCTACATGGGTCATTTTCCCAGGTTGTTAATATAGCATAGCATCACATTGGAAAAGGTTCCCAATGGGTTGATAAAACTTTACCTCAGAATAAATTCACTGTCTTTTTTTTCTGCAGAAATATCAATAGTTAGGTAAACAAATTTATTGAATCCAACAGCAGATAACCTTCAAATTTAAAAAAAAAAGAAATGATACTGTAGACATCAAAGACAAAAATGTATATATCAAGTTAATATTCAGGGGGCTATTTGAAGAGTGCAACAGTGCAGAGAATACTAAAGTATTAACTTTTGTCAAGTTTGTACAACCTCAAGAAACTTACGCTGATCACAAACCAAGAGGGATCCACAAAGGTGGAGGGTCACATGAGCAATGGACTCATCACCTCAGCGGCTTAAGACAGGATATATGCAAGACCAATTCAACCAAGCCCTGTCTGCCTACTGCTTCAAATTCCCTCTTCAAAACCTAGAGCCATATTCAGTGCAGCAGGGAAGAGCAGTTAATCAGATTCTGAGGACTGGGGACCAGTATTAGAGAAAAGCTAATTCTTCTGTAGCAAATATATTTGTGCTGAGAGAAAAACAGCAGCTGCTGAATGGCTTCTTTTGGCAATGCTCAGGATATGTGATGGAAGTATCTATGAGAGCAGGCTGGGTTTCCAAGAGAAAGAGAACACTATGCCCCAACATGGCAATCAGAACTTGATTTTTCAGCTAATCAAACCACATCAGCATCTGTGCTCAAGCATCCTTCTCTGGAAAAGAAAAAGAGGAGGTAGGTTGGGGGGATACCCAGTGAGCATCCCCACCATGTCATCCTGGGACAGGTCAAATTGGTATGGGCTGAAATTACAGCTTACCAAAAAAAGACACTCTTAAGAGGAGTGTAGGAAGACCCCACCCCTACATGACCCAGAAGAAAAGATCAATGCTACATGACCTTAAATAATCCTAATCAACATATTTTGATAATTTTGTCCTTTCAAGTATTTAAGTTAAATACTGCTTCAGTCCTCCAAGTAAGACTTTTGTCAGTTAGCCATCCTAACATACACAGGAGATTAAGAAGTCTAAAGAAGGAGGCAGGGAGCGGGGAGCTAAAAACTTTTTAACAGTAGTTCTCTTTCCATCCCTTATATAACTGTATAACTAGGTCTACCTGCTGCACTGAAAACCCCACTTGAAATACAGCAGGCTGTACATTCCAATACACATATCTTTTGCTTTGTTAGTTTTTGGACATGTCTTTATCTTAGCAATTTCCCACCAATGTGTAGTCTTAAGTACATAATTTGGGGGGGTTGGGGGGAGTGTCCCATAACCTGATCTGGCCTAGAGACCAGACCCTAGGAGACAGTACTGTTTCAAGCTAATTCTATGTGCAGCTTAATTCTTCACTGTGTCCATCTAATATGAACAGCATTGCTTTGAACATTTTCTATTATCTTTCCTTTGACCCAAAGCTTTGGCTGAAATTTGGATTTTCAGCCAGCTCTGGAGACCTCTTTATCAGATGGGTACATATAGACTTCTGAACCCAGCACACATGATGGCACATCTGCCACAGTGAAGAGAGAGCTGCTGAGGCAACCCCCAGAAGTACAGCAAAGTGTAATTATGAATGATACATTCAAGTTTGGCAAGGAAGACTGGGGGAAAGAATTCAATAAAGTAACTTTTTATCTCATACCAGCTTGCTAAAGGAATACCATGGAAACTCAAGCCGCTTCCCCAAAGTAAGCAATTTCCAACATATTCTGTGTAATAATGCTTAGGCATTGCAGAATTCCAAAATGGCACCCACATATTGTACCTCCCCACATTACCCGAGTCACAAAGCTAGCTTACCTGGGGGGCAATTTGGCTTCCAGCCACTGCTCATCCACCCAATAGCAACAAGCCTATCTGAGGTTGAGTGAAACAGAGGCTTTTGTTTCCGAGAAGTGTTAACTACAAACTTTACAACTCACTGAGAATCTATTGGCAAATCAAAACTACTGCATAGAGAAGCCGAAGTCCCTCCCTGACTGTTCCTTGTCTGTGGTTTCTCAACAGATGATTAAAAATATAATCACGATTTCTAAATGGCTGGGGGTTGGGGTACAGGCATTGGGGTTGAAGAAACTGAGCAGTTAAAAAAAATCTACCCAGTGGGGAAGGAATCTAGTTCGTTGAGTCCATGGGGCCTGTGGCAGATTCCCTCTCTTGGCACTTCCCTGCCATACACCCTTTCTTATCTGGGACAGAAAGTCTTACCCTAACCACCTCTTCCCTCACTGGACTTCTACCTAATCCTGAATTAGGAACAACTGGCTAGATGAGATCTTATCCAAATGCTGTAATGTAGCTGTGCCCTCAGAAACTGATGGGCTCCTGGATTCTTACTCAAGGACTTTGTCTTATTCTGGCTAGAAGGGGCACATCTGGCCCAACAGCCACTTGGGCCTTCCAGCACTATCTTAAGTCTGGCTGATTTTCATCATCTCATCCCTCAAAGGATAATTTGTGAGGCTTACAAAAATGTTCCCTGTGTCAATACCAAATTTAGGAACTATGACTGTCATCTCCTTAAATAATCATCTTTATAAAGATAAGTGCCCAGAGCTATAAGACTCATGAAGAACTCAAAGCATGCAATTCTTACCCAGATTGAGAAACATATACCCAGGATTTGGGGCAGCCTAATCAAGGGAGAAAATTCCAAATATTTAATAGACACTTTTTCATTGTATCAAGAGTATAAATATTTTTGTAATTTTTATTTATTAAAAGATTCCCTTTTAAATCTGTTCCGAAATGTTGGAAGCTGAACTGTACAAGCTCCTGCCACCCACCTTCCAGTACATTTTTGAGGATAGTTTTAAGGGGAAATTATCAAGATGGTCCTCTAGTGAAACAGGTAGGACAGAGTCAGCTCTTTAGGCCCCAATGGCAGCTTGGCCAAAGCTGGCCTTGTAGAGTGAGCATGGAGTCTAGAGAACTGGTTCCTCCTTCCTGCAAGCAAATTTATTAATGTTCTTTTCAGTGAAAAAAAATCTAAATTAATATACAACAGCCTCCATTTATGATGCGCCCTGGCATCTTCTTAGACTACAGATTGAAGGCAGCTCCCTCTTTCATGGCCAGTTTTAGCAGACGAACAAAGGGATATAGATACATATATGTGTATATATATATATTTTATAAAGGTAAAATATATACATATCTTATATATGTATATATACATATCTGGGAGTAAGGGAAAGAGAAGAGGGTCATGTAAACCTAAACAGTCATCACATTACCCCAAATGAGCTTGACATTAACACAAAGATAATAAATAACTCCTGGGGGTTAAGTGACAACGTGGGCGCAGCAAAGAGGGAGAGGGCACACATTTAATGATTCAATACACATGGATAATTTGTTTGGCAGAGTTCAGGCCAGCCTCAGGCTTCTGCACTTGCCAGACAAGTAAGCTAATGATACTCAACAAAAACTAAAGAAAAAATAGTTTGAAGCAGAGCTCCATGCCACAGCTTCCTTTCAGGTCAGCTGGCTGGCAGGCACACTTTTCTCACCACCCAGAACGGAAACTTTGGCTCCACGGCAAATGAAAAAGGGGAAAAAAGAAGTATTTCCACTTATGACATGAAAATACAAAAACATCAAAGAAAACTATCAAAGAAGTCTACTTCCAGCAAAACTGAGGTAGCACTGCTTTCTCTGCATTCAATGCTTAAGTGGTTTTCAGTACAATGCGTCCTAACAAAACAAAACAAAACTGCTCACTTGACTGACAGGTTCAGCATGATGATGGATAAGTTAAACATGAAATGCAATGGGTCAAAGAAGGAATGAGCAAGAAGTGAGGGAGAAGTGAGGGCTTTGGATAAATTAGCTCAAAGGGATGGGGTGGGGGTCAGACTGCAAATGCTCTTGACTGGCCTTGGCCTTGGCTCGCCAAGAGCTCCAAACTGTTTGGAAATTAATGCAATGTGGCTAACAGTTAACACTGCTATATTCATATCTGTGTAAATCTTTTAAAATAATAATTACAACCTAAATTCAACCATGTAAACAGCACTACACACAGTACAGACCTGCCCTGAAAAATAATATGCAAAACTGAGATCTGGCACTGTATCATTTTGTAATGTTAATTCAACCTAACAATCCCACTCCCCAACCCGGGGCCTACACCCCCCACCTCCATAAAAACAAAACAAATCTAATAAAGTGTGCAAGAAATGGCAGGCTTATTCTATCTGAAGGCTTCAAAAAAAGGTACACAACATGTAGCCAGGTTCAAATATTTTGGAGGATTTCCTACTCCAAAAAAGAAATAATCAAAATAACCCACAAAAAAAAAAAAAAAAAAATGAAGAAAGTGCCTAAAACATGATACAGCATTTTAGAGCCCTTTCAAATACAAGGCAGAGAAAGGTGTAAAGTAGAAAATATCCGGATCTTCAGTAATTTCCAGAAAGGTCCAATTCCTCACTTGGCTGCAGGGCAGCAGGCAGATAGATCCTCAGTGCTGCTCCTGGAACAGAGCAGCTAAGTCTGCTCTTCTGGACACAAGCCCTCGGGCCCTGAGCTGAGTGCACCTCTCCCTTCCGCTTCTCTTTTCCTTCTCTCCATTTCCCACTCCACAAAGGTATCAAAGAGACTCGGCCAGGCCTCATCTTCACTGTAGTTGCTGAGGTCAGGGCCAATCACCTGAGTGAAGTTAAGAAACATGTTCCAAGTGTCCCGGGAGATGCCCTTGATTCCCGAAGGGTTCTCTGTTAGGAAATTTAGCCACTGGTCCAATACTGGAGGATTGTTCTGTGTAAATACTAGTTTCCACAGGGCAATGGCTATTTCACGATGCAGTGACCGCTGCCCTTCTTCAGAGTCCAGGCCAAACTGAAATGTAAACCGGTAGAGATCCTTGAATTTATCTTCTTGTTTGGCTTCTGTTAAGAGGCTAGGGAACCGTGCACAGATCCCATCAATGCTGTCTGCACTTATTGCTTTACAGCCATCAAAAAACTCCTTCCTGCGACAGGTAGGAAAAGGTATGATTAATAAGTAAAAATGATGCAGTATATGATGAGGCAAGACAGCACAGTTAACAGCAGCTAATCCTCCCAACCTGCAGCCCTCAGAAGGCAAAGATAGGATCTTGAGTTCTAGGCCAGCCTGGTCTACTAAGGTCAACTAAGGCTGTACAATCAGACCTTGCTTCAAGAGTAGATAGGTAGATGGGTGGGTGGGTAGTTAAGATGAGTGGGTGGGTAGTTAAGATGAGTGGGTAGATAGATACATAGGGCCCAGTTTAATTCCCCCAAACTACATGGCAACTCATAACAGCCTATAAATCTAGTACCGGGGATATAACACACATTTTTTTGCCTCTGAGGATACCAGGCATGTACATCAGAAATATACAATGTAGGTAGGACACTCATACACATAAAATTAAAATTAAATAAAATATAAAATAAAAATACAATACAATAAAATAATGGGAAAAAACAACAAAAAAATGTGCCTTTCAGGGCATGGCAAGATGGCTCAGTGGGTAAATGTACTTGCCACCAAGAATGATAACCTGATTTTGATCCTACATGGTAAAGAAAACCAACTCCCTCAAGTTGTCGTCTGGCCCCTTCACATTTAAAGCATGGCACATGTGCATGTGCACACACACATACATGTACATGCATACTACCAAAACTGTAGTTAAATTTTTTTTTTTAACTATTTGTTTGTTTGTTGTTTTCTGAGGTAGGATCTCACTATGTAGCCCCTCCTAGCCTTGAGTTCTCTACCCTTGTGCCTCAGCCTCCTGGGGACTGGGATTACAGACAGGTATCACCACGCCCAGCTGCATCTGTACTTTTGAATATGTAGTTTATAACAGGGCTTCACACTGATTATCTCAGGGGCTGTGGTGGTGAGGCATCTCATCTATTGAGCAGGTCATATAAATTAGCTGGGCTTTTAAATTTCCTTATGCCAGGCCAGGTATGGTAGTTCACACCTTTAATCCCAGCACTCAAGAGGCAGGCAGAACCTGCAGTTTGAGGGCACCTTGCTCTACATATCCAGTTCCAGGCCACTAGGGCTACATAGTGAGACCTTGTCTTACAAAAAAATAAAGTCCATTCTTACTCATAATCCTGCATTCTTTAAACCACAGTCTGCCATGACCCTGTCATACACTTATACACAAACAAACAACCCCAATATGGATCCATAACTCTAACAAATTATGCAACTGCTACTTGATACCTGGGGCCAGCTGTCCTTGCTGCACAGAGGCCTGGCTTAAGGAAACAAGCTGAGAACTCCAAGAGTGGTAGAGGTAGAGCCCAGAGACAGTTACTCCATGGACTCCTAAGTGCCTAGCAGACTACAGGTAAACGACTAACCTGACATGTGGAGGAGTAAGAGGCCTGTCCTGAGCGGCTGTCAGTGGGGCTGAGCAGCAGCTTAGCAAAAGGGTTCACACTGCTTAGTCCTTAGTTAATTTTAGGCCATGTACATGCATACTCACAAAACTATAGTTTTGTGTCCAGTAACTAGGACTGCTTCTTAGTGCTTTTATGAATCCAAATGTGACCTATCAATCAGGTAGCACTTTATTTTGTGAGGAAAACACAGAATAGCACATATCAGACAAGGAAGCTTTACAGAGATACAAATCCCTGAGTCTTACCTACCGAGAGAGATATACTCATTAGTTCTGCTACAAGTTTCAGACACATGATAGAAAAATTAATTCCTTAGGAGAATCTAGGGAGTTCTCTGGACTAGGACTACAACTCAGAACACTTAAGCTTAGAGAAAATGGCCAGAAAAGGGATGAAGACCACTTGCTCCAAACCTGTGAAGCCATCCCAGTTCTGTCCGAGTTGGTACCACTATCCAATGTCATGCTGTCCTCCTCTGCTCCCTTCCTGACATGAACGCATCTGTGACTCACCTGGTGAATTTGCACATGGTAGCAGCCTGGAACTTCCAGGCCAAGAGCAGCACTCGAAATTCCGTAGGATCAACACATAGGTCATTGCAAAAGCGCTCCATGCCTTCCTCCAAAATTGCATCCTCCCGCTCATCCTTGTAGCGCCTGAATAGTTCTTCCAACCTCTGCAAGGAAGACTCCTCGGCATTGGTCTTAGACTCCCTCCCAGCATCTCCAGAAGAAGTTGGCAGCTGGCAGGCCTCTGTGGCAGCCTCTGCTTTCTTGGTCCCATTGACAAGAATATCCCCAGCTGGTTTGCCACAAGGTGGCACCTGCTCCTCACGGTGGCTAGTCCCCCGCCTGCTGTGTGACTTGCTGCTGGGGTCCCGGTCTCCATTCTTGCTGCCCAAGGTTGATGAAGGATTCTTGCACTTGGTGACACACTGGCCCATGGTGGTGGTAGCCTGGCCTCTAGAGTGGCCCTCTCTGGATCAGATGCCCTCGCTGCCGCTGGCCCATGTACTTCAACATGCCATCAGTTAGAGGAGCCAACCAACCTAGAAGGAAATTACAAAGTAGTTACCCTCTGGGCAGAAGAGTGGGATAAAGACACTGCATCCCAGAACTGCTCACCAGTGATCACTCTATTTCACTGAGCTAACATAACAATGAGCCAAGGGAGAGAACTCTACCCCAGCTCACTATTATCTCTCCTGTAAGTCAGCACTGTAGGATGCTTACCCTTGGATATGGTGGCTAGGGGGCATATGGAGAACCATCATGAGAAATTCCTAAAATCCTTAAGTTATAAGAGACTGATTCATTTGCAGAACACATCAAAGACTATAGTTCTAACAGAATGTTCCAGAGGAAATCTATCTTATCAACTTTTGCCTTTACATAAGAGTTATCTGGACCTGAGTTAAGCCACAAGTTCATCATCTGGTTCGATACCTAATACCTACACATTCAGATTTCAACAAAGATTGCCACAATCTTTTCCTCCCAGCATAACACAAGTAACACCTTGGAGGATAAACTACTTTGGCCTGGTAGCCATGGCAACTAATTGAACAGAACAATACAGAGGTAGCTAAGTCTATGATAATGGTAATGGATGGAATCAAGCAGAGTTAAAGGAGCCTCGCCTCACTGCAGCCATTCCTCCCTCCCTCCCTCCTCCCCTCTTGCAGATGCTATATAGTACAAAAAATTAATGGAAAGCAGGACTCCATGATAAAGCTTCCATCAAGTCCTCAGCAATAAGGTGCTGTAGTTATTTTACGGTTACTCATGCTGCTGAAAGTAATCCCCATCTGCACTTCGTAAGGGAGGTTTGTCAAGAAGGATTCTAGTGGAATAGAGATAAGAGGCCATATCCAAGCCACCTGTAATCTCATAATGGTCTGTCTAATGGTGAAGTAAGAAGTGTCAAAACTACAAGCAAGGGCCTAGCCAAACAGCAAAGTGCAATGTGCCTGGGTCTCTGAATTCACACAGGTGTACTGTCCTAGCTCCACCCTGTTCCACCCACCTACATGGAGCCTGTACTCCAGGCACTTTCCCAAACTAGGTGTGCCTCCACACCCAATACAATCTCTAAGAGATAAAACTGCTGGATCACTGACATTGAGCAGTACTTGTTAGTAAGTTTTTATATGAACTGCTAAAAATGTGTGAACAAGAGCAGAAGCAATTTCCAATACTGTCTACTTAGGACTTGTTCTTAACCATCAACTATTTTGTTATAGTAGAAAATCCATTTACGATTTAATACTTGCAAAATTCTGCTAACTGTTAGAACAATGATAGCCACTGACTGTTAGAGCATGTGGATCAGAAGCCAGAAGTGTACCATAGCAAAGAAAGCAGACACCAGACAAAAATCAGTGTCAGTCCAACACCGGCCTTTCACTTCTATGGAGCCTTCACGGCCCTTCATGGTGCAAATTCAGAGCTGGTAATAGGGCAAGGGGCAGTTGTTAAGAAAAGCTGAATAAACAAAAATAAAAAAATAAATAAAAAAAAACAGCTTCCACCAAACAGTGCCTGGACAAACTGGAGTTATCTTCAAAGGAATTCTCTCTAAAGGAAGCAGAGAGTATAGTCATCTAAAGGGAACCACAATCATTCCTGTAGTTAGGCAGACTCCTACTAAGGGTGTGTCTTATTCTCCACCCTTAGAAACAAAAGACATGTCTACACATGCTCTCAAAAGAAAGGCAGTTTCAATTTGCTTAAACCAAAACAAAACACACAAAGAAACTCTTAAAAGTACTTTGACTGTGAAAAGTGACAGACCCAAGCATGGCTTCTCACAGGCTGTTCATACTCTGAGCATGTAGTAAGCCATAAGTGAAACCTATTCAAATCTCAAAAGGCAAGGGGTTAATTCTTGGAGACCATTGTACAAGAGAAGCAACTGTTCGAGCAGAATTATCTCCAAACAAGAAAGACTGTAGCATGTGGAGGGTCTGGTTTCCAGATTTGTGTTTCTAAAGACTGGATTGCTGAAAGAAACAAAAGGCCCAAACTTACACAAATCCCACATGCTCACAGACTGGCAACTAATTCCCAGGCTGGCTGACTCACCAGTGTTTGCTGCTCAGCTCCTGCTGCAGGAGGCCCAGCACCCGGTGAGGTAAGAGGATTTCCTGCCCTGCATCTGACCCACCTACCCAGGCCACTCACCCCACCCCCACTGGACAGATGCTTGAGTTCAGCAGCTCCCTCCAAAGCCTGGCACCAAGGCCTGCAGGTAACGGCAGAACAGATGGGACTCCCATAGAGGCCCAAAGCTCATTTACTCTGCTGTGCCTCCATGTAAAAGCATCTTTTGATGACCTGATACAGCGGAACCAGTTGAAACCTGAAGGCTTTTAACATGCTCAGCAGATGAGAAAGAGGGGAAAATCAATGTGGACAGATGATCAATCAGCCAGTGACAGAAGGTCAGCTTTCTCCCATCATGGCTCCTTTCTTTGAAAGGTTTCCATTCCAGTGGGATTGAGCAGTGGTCTCAAGTCAGAAGCCAGTATAGTATGTTCTTCTCTGCTTGTAGGTACTGTTCCTCGATTGCTTGTTGATTTCCCCTTTTTCTGGGTTTCTCCAGGTCCTGTCACAGCAATCAGCCCTGTGTTTTAAGAGGCTGGCAGAACCTTCAGTCTTTCAAAGTTTCACTTGCTGTTACCTAACAACAGCAACCATCAATTACTGAGCATTTGATACAGGGCCAAACTCTATGCTAACTAAGCACTTTAAGAACATTAGCTCATGTGCCCTTCTCACCATAACCCCATTTAAAGACAGGAAAACTGAGGCTCTGCATATAGTAAACTTATCCAACATCACAGAACAAACAGAACCTGGAATGTTTCGTTCAAGAAACCATGACCTGTATAACTGAGCCCACATCTGTCAAAGCACCATGGGACAGCATACTGAGGAATGGGCTCTGAGGTGAGGAACAGATACAGCAACCTCAGAATATCAGATTTTAACCACAGGCACACGCGCGCGCGCGCGCACACACACACACACACACGCATGCACACACACACACACTCACTAATAATAATAAACAAATTTAAAATTATAGTAAGAATAGCCCAGGCATGTGTTTAATCCCAGCACTTGGGAGGCAGAGACAGGTGGATCTCTGTGAGTTCAAGGCCAACTTGAACTTCATAGTGAGACTCAAAACATAAAAAAATCACTGACCATATTAAAAAGCCACATCACTGACCATATTAAAAAGCTCCAAAATCCCAACACATGGAGAATAGGACTCTCCACAGGAAGGGATTTCCTTGTGATTGATCCTCAATAAAATCAAGCTGTGCCTGGTGACTACTTTGAATTGCTAGCCATGCCCTGACCTGAGGCAGGCTTTCTGTTTCTTCAATCCATCTCTATAGGTCTGCAAAGACAGGATCTCTAGCTTTCTAGGTAATTACATTCAGTTAATGACAGTGTTTTCTCAAGTGTCTGTGCTCCCTCCCCTGCCACCTGCTGACAGCCTCTGCACAATCTAGACCTTCCAGTGCCAAGTTTACAAAAACAACACAATTAGTAGTGAATACCACTTTCTATTTGCTATATTGTATATTGTTATTATAACAGTAGCATAGAAACATAGCTCTCTGAAATAATTATTGAGTTCCAGGAAACTCAATGGCAGCACACTGAGGTCAAGAAGCCTATCTAGGAAGAGAGAAAACAGTCCAGTTATCAAGAGGCTGGGTGAATCACAGTGATGGCAGCTATTAACCAAACCTGTTCCACTGCACCTCAGAGGACTGTTGGGTGGAGGAAATGAGGCAATCCATGCATCTGGTACACAGAAGCAGTCAGTGAAGGGTCCGCCTCTGTAATCATTATTATTACTGCTATCACACAGTCACTGACAGACCGAAGCTTCCTTTACCGAAGGAATTGTTCTTCCGTAGCCAGCCCAGCTCTATCATGGCAAGTCAAATGTGTCTTACAAGTGACAGTTCTCCTGCTTTAGCTCTGTGGCACAAATGGATCAAACAGAGCCAAGGACAAAGAGAGGTGGGAGAGGGGTGGCTGAAAACATAAGTGGGGGAGGGGGAACCACTCATACATACAATAACTGGGGAACCTATTCTAAGCCTTTATATCCTTTGGATATGTATTTATCAGACAGCAATTTTGTTCAGCTTACAATGGGTCAACATCAGTCTCTAGCTATTCTCCTTCAGTCTTAGCACCAGCTGCTTCTGCGTTCTTCCCTCCCTTCTCTGCACATCAGCCTCTAGAATCCTCTTCCCTCTGTGCCACCCTGGCTGGCATTCCTAAGGATAGGCTTTGCTGCCTGCCCAGCTCAGCCCCAGTCTCAGGCCTGAAGCAGACCTGACCCCAGGGGAATCCTTACAAGTATGGGGTCCCTGAAGGTGCTCTAGCTTCACCTGTGCCTATCTCTTTGGTAGTTCCATGAGGTAACATCCAGGCAAACCTGTCTTCAAGTGGCTTGCTCTTGGTTTTTCAGCCAACCCACCGTGGAGGACCAACCTACACTAAGACCTGGTGTAAATGAAGACAGAAAAAAAAATGGAGACATAAGAGAACTACAAAGAAAGCTTGAAAGAGACTCAGAAGGATACTAACTGTAGGCTGGGGCTACAGCTGCACTTTTATAACAAGCCTAAGAAATAAACTGTGATAGGCTCTATATATTTGAAAACTACACAATAGTATACAAAATAAAATCAACTTGCTGGACTTCATTGAGATTTCACAGAAAGGTGGGTCTTGTTTGGGTTCTTAAATGACAATAAACAAGAAATGGAAGGGAAGAAGGTCAATATGGTTGGTCCATGTAATTAACATATAGTAATAGCTATATCTTGAAAATCATTACAGGGAGCTGAGGAGATTGGCCCATAGTAAAGTGCCAGCCACAAAAAACATGAAGATTTTTCAGTTTGGGTTCCCAGCGACCACATAAAAGCTGAGTGTGGTAACCCATGTCTATCTATCCCCAGTGCTAGGGAGTGAAGACAGGGAAGCTTCCTGGGGCTTGCCGGCCAGCCTG